AAATATTGAGATCGGAGAAAATGAAACTTTAAAGGATCAGAACAGAATGCCATATATCTCATTCTATCTGTAATGATTGTAAATTATTTTTATTTTAATCCTCCTCAAACATATTGAATCCTCCCCAAACATATTGAATCCTCCTCAAACATCTTGAATCCTCCTCAAACATCTTGAACCCTCTTTAAACATCTTTAATCCTCCTCAAACATCTTGAATCCTCTTCAAACATCTTGAATCCTCCTCAAACATCTTGAATCCTCCTCAAATATCTCAAATACCTCACAAACATCTTGAATCCTCCTCAAATACATCAAATACCCCTCAAACAACTTGAATCCTCCTCAAACATCATGAATTCTCCATCAAATATCTCACATACCCCTCAAACATCTCAAATTCCTCTCAAACATTTTGAATCTCTATCAAATCCCCGGAAACATCTCAATTCCCCACTCATATCTCAGATACCCCCCCACCTCTGCCCGTAAAAAGTAACTAATTACCCGAAACTACAGATAATCCTCGCGGCTTTCTCAGCTTCCAAAGTAAATATTTTCACCCAATCCAAAATACTTTTCTTTATTTACCCTCTCCACCTCACACCCATCAATATCACCTCAATTGTCTATGTAAACTTGTAATACAACCTGTGCAAACTATTAACTGTAAAGTTAGTTTGGGTTTGAGTGTCGTGCAGTTATACATTCCTTACCCAGGGTTCTCTTAGTAGCTCCTGTAATAGTAAATATAGTAGAGGGGAATCAGAGATATTATTCGATTTATTCTTTCAAGTTTCTAAAGCATGGGACTCTGAAATTGTCCGGTTGATTAACTGGAAACCGTGCGAATAGTCCTTCTCGCCAGTCGTCCTCAATGTTGAAATAGATTGCTCAATCTATGGTAGAGAAAACTGTAGAAATAGTCCTATTCGCCCTTTCTCTACAGTAGAGAAACCTGCAGGAATAATCCTATTCGTCCTCTCAACAGTATTCGAAACTAAAGGAATAGTTTTATTCGTCCTCTATCTACAGTAGAGGAAACTGTTGTAATAGTCCTATTCGTCCTCTTTCTACAGTACAGGAAACTATTGTAATAGTCCTATTAGTCCTCTCTCTATAGCAGAGGAAACTGCAGCAATAGTCCTATTTGTCCTCTCTCTACAGTAGAGGAAACTGCAGGAATAGTCCTATTCGTCCTCTTTCAACAGTACAGGAAACTGCAGGAATAGTCCCATTCGTCCTCTCTCTACAGTAGAGAAAACTGTAGGAATAGTTCTATTCGTCCTCTCTCTACAGTAGAGGAAACTGCAGGAACAGTCCTATTCGTCCTCTTTTAACAGTAGAAAAAACTGCAGGAATAGTCATATTCGTCCTCTTTCAACAGTAGAGGAAACTGCAGGAATAGTCCTATTTGTCCTCTTTCAACAGTAGATGAAAATGAAGGAATAATCCTGTTCGTCCTCTTTCTACAGTAGAGGAAACTGTAGGAATAGTCCTATTCGTCCTCTCTCTACAGGAGAGAAAAATGCAGGAATAGTCCTGTTCGTCCTCTTTTAACAGTAGGGGAAACTGCAGGAATAGTCCTGTTCGTCCTCTTTCAACATTAGAGGAAACTGCAGGAATATTCCTATTCGTCCTCTCTCTCTACAGGAGAGGAAACTTTAGGAACAGTCCTATTCGTCTTCTCTCTACAGTAGAGAAAACTAAAGGAATAGTACTATTCGTCCTCTCTCTACAGTAGAGAAAACTGCAGGAATAGTCCCATTCGTCCTCTCTCTACAGTAGAGAAAACTGTAGGAATAGTTCTATTCGGCCTCTCTCTACAGTAGAGAAAACTGTAGGAATAGTTCTATTCGTCCTCTATCTACAGGAGAGAAAACTGCAGGAATAGTCCTATTCGTCCTCTCTCTACAGTAGAGAAAACTGTAGGAATAGTTATATTCGTCCTCTCTCTACAGTAGAGAAAACTCCAGGAATAGTTCTATTCGTCCTCTCTCTACAGTAGAGGAAACTGCAGGAATAGTTCTATTTGTCCTCTCTCTACAGTAGAGAAAACTGTAGGAATAGTTCTATTCGTCCTCTCTCTACAGTAGAGGAAACTGCAGGAATAGTCCTATTTGTCCTCTCTCTACAGTAAAGGAAACTGTATATTCCTATCCTATCCATTTCTTGTATGTAAGAATATATATTTGGAAAACTATCATGAGATAAAAATGCTCTTTATTTGACATGGTAGACTTCAAGATATAAAATATACATGGTAGATTTCATTTAATTAAATGTAGACCAGAAGATGAAATAATATTTTATGTAATTAGAACTAGAACCAAAAAGCTTTGAAATTAATGACTTCTTTGCATGGTCTTCCTTTTACTTGTCGCAACTGTTCTCAAAACATGTTTAGGACACTTTTTTTATAAAGTGGTAGGCAATTATATCAATACAATGAAGACGACTTTTGATTTCAATTTTGATTTATATCAAGCTGTTAAACAGCATTAAAAAATATAAACATCGAAGTTAAGAGAGGCTGTCACTTATAAAAGTTTTTTTTGATTACATGTAAACAATTGTAATTCGAAAAAAAAAGCTTGTTAACAATCAAACTGTCATCAATATTATCGCCTAACACTGTAGTACAGTTGCAGACAATAAAATCAACAGCGTTTAAAATTTAATAAAAAAGAGAGAATACAAATTTCAAAGTTTCAAACAACTAACAATCTCAACAACGTGAAAATATTCGCATAAATTCTGCAGTGTTTATGAGGCAATGACCTCTGTATAATTTACATACACATAAATATGCACTAGACACTAGACAGAGATAAAATCTGCAATGAAAGTTTTGCAAACTCAATAAAAATGTTGATATTGATAAATCTGATGTCTAATATTATTTTTTTTTTTTGATAATGAATTAATAAATTGATAATTTGATAAATTAAACGGATTAAATTACTATCCGGGGAATTAAACTGCTAATTAATTAATATCCGGTTAGAGGGGGGGGGGGGGTGAGAGGTTGAAGGTAAAATGCGGATTTTATACAGTTCCAAGTGGGGCAGACCTGAGTTTTAAAAGAAAAAAAAAGATAACTTTCATCTGAATTTTGTAATATGGGAAAACAAAGAAAATGGAGGTGAACTTAAAAAAAAAAAAAAAATTAAAATTAGAAACGAAACTTTACCAAACAAATTGTAAATTTAGTTCTTCTCTAATAAGTAAAGCAATTTTGCAAGTATCTATCTATATAATGACAAATTGTTTGCTTATTAACTTTAAAATAATATTACACACATCCCTTCCTCCCTCGTGCTATCCCCCCCCCCTGGCCTCTGCCAATTTTGAACTAACTCCCCTTTTCAATTTTCATGCATTGGTGTTATGCAGTAACCCAATACTTGACGTATAGTGTTTAATACATTCAATAGGTTATCATGTATATTATGTATAATGTAAACAGGGTGTCAATAAATATTGATACGTTGTAAATGTACAGTGTGCAATGTACAGTGTACAGATTTTTTAAATATTGGGTACAGATCATACAAAAATATTCTATTATATTTATTTATTCATTTTACATGTGCATTATAATATGCTTATGCAATATATATTTTAAGTGGAGTTTATTACTTTTGTTTGCACAATTTCTGGTAAACCTGTAACAGTATTTGAAGTGTATTTAGACAGGACAGTAGGTGTTGAGTACTTGAGCAAACTAACTTTATCATGGTTAGTTTCGGGGGGGGGGGGTCAGGGGGTAATGACCGGTTCAAGGAATTATGGGAGGGTGTAGCGGGGCTTTCTTAAAAGGATGAGATAATATACTCGACTCCAAAGGCAAAATGAAATAAACCACAATCATTTTGCAATTTTAAATCTTTATATTCAGTGCTACAAAACTAATGAATTAGTCAGATTAAGGGCATTGTCCTGGCATCACTTCGGATTCGGCCCAGTATCACTAGTTGGTGAATAATTTTCATAATTTTCATTTTCATATATTGTAAGAATAAAACAGGTGTATATAACTTCACCAATATGTTTGTAGTGAACGCCTTCACCATAACATTTTACTATAGACGTATCTATCCAGGTCTAGTCGTAATATCAACCAGGACTAATTCTCCGATTCTAAAGGACACACAACCCAAATCTCGTATAATTCAACGAGGTCCCATGCTATCTTTCAAGCTATATTCATATCAAGGCAAGATCTACGCTCGTAAAATTCAACCAAAGCTTTGTTTCAAGCTTACTATGCTTCTGATAACTCAATCAAAATCCGAATTATTAAATAACGACGACATAAAATGTAATAAACTACAGACGCCATGTATAGGAACATGTTGAGAAAATAAAAATTAATCTTATCATCGAAAATAGGTAATCTTGTTCAATCAATTATTAGTTTATATTTTCTCATTATTCTGGTTTCTCATTATTCACAAAGATTTTCTGCAGATTTTCTAGAATTATTATTGAAAAGACGACATTTTAAGAATTTGAAGAAATCTACGAATAAATTCAACGAAAATAAGAAATTCAATATATAGATGAAAACGAAATAATCGATTTTAGCATTGATTTATTGACAAATTTCTTTTGAGAAACATGTTCCTAACTATCTAATTAGATTACTGTATAATTTTTACTTTATTTTTCGTTGCCGTTATTTGATAATTTAAAAAATAATAATTCTGAAAACGTATCCACCCCCAAAGTAGGAGTTTTGAACGTCGAATTTGCGCTCAAACTCAGGATTTACAGATCTTTAAAAAGTTTAATACGTCTCAAATGAATCCGAAAGAAGTTTTCCGCAACACTGCATACTCAGTTCAACTACCTTACATAGCCGGTCACTCCCTTTAAAAGGGTTCTGTTACTGCAATAAATATATATATAGTTCCTGGAAAGAGTTCCCTTACAGTATATAAATATATAGTTCCTTGAAAGGGTTCCGTTTATAAATTAATTTTTCTTTTCAGAATTATATTGTGTTAAAGCTTCAGTCGAGTTGTAATGTGAATCGACACGAAAGGGTTTGAGAGAGGGAAAAAATTATTTAAAAAACTGTAAGAATGAGTGGAAAACCGAGTAAACTTGTTTATCTCTCTCTTGTTTTAGCTTCTTCCAGTTTGCTTCTTTCAGGTGAAATTTTTACCATTTTTAAAAATTTCCAAAAAATACATTTTTTCTTTTTTTCGTTTTTTCTTTCAGTTTTCTTTGCACTGATACTTTTCCTTTTCTGTATTTTCCTGTCAGGATCCTTCACTGCTCCGGTTCATGATCTATTCATTAATCCAGCTAATGATCCTCTCATTCTTCCGGCTCATGATCTTTTCATTCTTCCGGCTCGTGATCTTTTCATTCTTCCGGCTCATGATCTTTCCTTTCTTCCGGCTAATGATCCTCTCATTCTTCCGGCTCATGATCTTTTCATTCTTCCGGCTCATGATCCTCTCATTCTTCCAGCTCATGATCTTCTCATTCTTCCGGTTCATGATATTCCCCTTAACTTCCGGTTAATGATCTTCACTTTCTTCCGGCTCATGATTTTATCATTCTTCCGACTTTTGATCTTTTCTTTCTTCCGGACAAATATCTTTTCTTTCTTCGGGACAAATATCTTTTCTTCCTTCCGGTTCGTGATGTTCTCCTTATTCCAGCTCATGATCTTCTCATTCTTCCGGCTCATGATCTTTTCTTTCTTCCGGTTCATGGTATTCCCCTTCTTCTGGCTCATAATCCTCTCATTCTTCCGGCTCTTGATCTTCTTATTCTTCCGGCTTATATTCTTTTCTTTCTTCCAGTTCATGATATTGCCCTTCTTCCGGCTCATGATCCTCTCAATCTTCCGGCTCATGATCTTCTCATTCTTCCGGGCTCATGATCTTCTCATTCTTCCGACTCATGATCTTTACATTCTTCCGGCTCATGATCCTCTTATTCTTCCGGCTCACGATCTTTTCTTTCTTCCGGTTCATGAAATTCCCCTTCTTCCGGCTCATGATCTTCTTATTCTTCCGGCTCATAATCTTTTCTTTCTTCCAGTTCATGATATTGCCCCTCTTCCAGCTCATGAACCTCTCATTCTTCCGGCTCATGATCTTCTCATTCTTCCGGGCTCATGATCTTTTCTTTCTTCTGGGTCATGATCTTTTCTTTCTTCTGGTCATGATTTTCCCTTTTTTCCTTTTCTATTAATTTCATCCTTTTTCGTGTCTTTCTTCTTTATCTTTCTTTTCTATTTCTTCATTTATTAGATCCTTCAGCATAGATTTCACAGATGAATAAAGAGATTTGTTTTATTGTTGTTTTCTGTGGGAAACTTCTTCCTTGAAGCTTTTTATAAATACTTTAACCCCTTTTTCGTCATTCATGTCTTCTACGGTTCAATAAATGAGATTGTCAAAAACTCAAACTTTACAGGTTTATATTATTTTCATACTGTACTTATTTTATAAACTAGCCAATATTGATTCGATATATATGTTTAAAAAACAAACATAATACAGTTAAGTTCAAATATAAAGAGACATTGGAAGAATTTTTAAAATATCGTATTCTTAACGTTCTGATAACGGAATGCTGCAGATTTATAGTTCTTTAAAACTGTTCCCGCATATTAATGGATATTCATTTATTCTTGCAATTTCTAAGATTTACGTACAGGGTGTCCCACGAAACATGACAATAGCAAGACGACTTGGAAGTCGTCTTTGGTATTTGAATTTATTTGTGACATTTAGTCTTGTATCTACTTTAACATGTATGATTCTTGAAACAATTATCACATAATTCTCATAGCCCTGGCATTTCCAAAAAGTGGTCTGCGTTTTTTGTGCTTTCAATATTACCTGAGATATAAAGATTTTGGTTCAGATTTCAATTTTGTTAAATAAAAGCAAAATTGTCGAAATCTGAACGAAATTCTTCATATCTCGGGCAATATTGAAAGCACAAAAAAGGCAGACCACATTTTGGAAATGGCAGGACAAGGGAAATTTTGTGATTATTATCTCTAGAAATTTACCTCTAAAATTAGGTTGACAAATAAACGCAGCAAATTATATCAAAAATCAAGACGACATTCAAGTCGTCCTGCATACTGTCATGTTTCGTGGGACACCCTGTATAATAGTATAAACCCATTGTCAAGACGACATTTCATAAATTCTTTCGATGGCTCAAAATCTTTTTTTTTCTTCAAAATTTACAATCTCTGGCTTCTGAAGACCAAGTGATTAAACCTAACAGATTGGTTTAAAGGAAACTGAGAATGTAGTTTTGTGGAGAAATTTTTTAGGATTCATCTAATTAGTTTACTGTCGAATTTTATATACATTTTTCGTCGTCGTTATTTAATGATTTAAAAAGAATCGATTATCAAAACGTACCCACCCAAATGGATGATTTTGAAAGTCGACTTTGCGCTCAAACTAATTGTACATCATTAAAACGTTTTATATGTCTCAAATGAATCCTCAATAATTTCTCCACAATACTACATTCTCAGTTCAATTAACATTGCCGGACACTCCCTTTGAACTACAATCAAGTCAAGCTTTCATTGGTCTTTAGTTGTGCGTAAATAGACGCCAAATCCAGATTTTACTCGGGTTTAAGCTTATAAAATCTCAACTCTGTGCTCGATATTAACTGTTGAAATTGTAACGCTGGGATTAATGTTTAAAATTTCCGCATGATTATATCCTTTATAAATATCTGTCAAAAAAATGCATTTATCATGTCTTGTAAATATGATGCAGAATACAAATTTGAAAGAGGGATATTCAAAACAAAATCTTTTAGTTTCCAAAATCCGATAAACATTTTTTCAAAAAATTTTATCATGATAGATTAAAAGAATTTGGTTTAAATTACTTTTTAATTATTAAATTCCAGCCAATCTACTGATGGGGTCATATCACCCCGGACCAACCAGTCATACGCGTTTTGGTTTATATTTTAACAATCTTTAAACTTACGATTTTTTTGTTTAATACTTTTTATTTTAAAAGTATATGCCGAAAAAAAAGTATCTAAGAAAGAAGACTGAAAATTTATGTTTAATAGGGAAAATTATGATCGAAAGTCATAGCTTTCTGGAAAATTGACAGAACCGTTAAATCCACGTGATATTGGTATTCTATGTTTTAAATATCAATAATGGAAAATCTATAAACTCTGTATATAGGAACTGCAGACGTAGGTTCAGGTCACCCTTTATTTAACGAGTACCAGCCCGATTCACAACGATACCCTTGAAACCTTTGTCTCCGCAAAAAGGATGGAGTAATCCCCGTTCTGATTTCTGACAATTGAATATTCTCAATTGCGGTTTATTTATTGAAGTAACTCGAAGATTTCTTAATACAAAAAGACGCACAGGTTTATCTATTTGCTAAAAGCTTTCTAACTTTTAGGAAAAATCTTAATTCACAATTTCAATTTTATTTTTAGGAGTGTGTATTCTTCAGCTTTATTTGCAGAGGGAATATTGGAAGGTGAAATATGTAAAAATATTAATTTTAACAGCTGTTCAAGTCGTACATTAGGTTTGCAGCTTTTCCATCTATACGTTAAATAATTTTAAAATGATTGAAGTTTTATTAAAAATTGGCTGAATTTTTTAAATATTTTATTTCAAACAGCCGTTTCGCCGTTTATTGGATGCAAGCAAACCGAAAAATGTACAGGGATAATATATAAACACATAAAAAAATGAGAACCGAAAAATAGGAAGACGACCTTTAGACTCAAGTTATGACTTTAAATAATTCAATGAACATAATACACAACAATTGTGCAGTATACACAGACCCAATTCACTTAATAAGTGATTTAATAAGTTACTAGTAAAACTGTTTACTCAGTAACAACATCAAATACCCAAGGAACAAAAGTGAGGAATTTCCCCGATTCTCCAACCGTGGTGACTTTCTTTAAAGATTTTCCAAGAAATTTCCCGAGAATCATTTCCTGTAACTGATTCGTCGGAAATTCCCAAGATGAGAGGTTTTTGGGGGATCACAGTTTTGAGACTTGATTTCGAGAGATTCCTGAGAAATTCTTTGGATTTTTTCCCCACGAAATTCCTCAGAATTTCTCCTGAATATTTCTCCGGAAATTCCTGAGAATTTCTTAGGACTTGGTCACCATGTAACGAATTTTTAGGGGAATTTATTAAGAGAATAATTGCAAGAAATTCCTTGGCTGGGGTTATGAGAAATTCCTCGGAATGGGTTTCAAGAAACTCCTCGGACCTTGTTATGAGAAATTCCTTGGAATGGGTTACGAGAAATTCCTCGGAATTGCTGTCGACATTTTCACGGGATTTTCCTGTGAAAGATTCCTGAAAATTTCCGCGGATTTTCCGCTAAATTGTTAATTTGGTACTGTTAATTATTACTTTAATGTCGTCTTCATATTCCACAGTAATTCTGGTTCTCTTTGTATAAATATATTTAGGGTGAAATAACAGCTAGATTATCTGATCTTGAAGCTGAACATGATTATCTTCTGGATTCAGAAAAGAGCAGCTTAACCTCTGACGAGAGCAGCTCAAGCCGTCCCTCATTATGCCAGCTGCTCCCAGACCCTGGACCATGCAGCTCTCAAGTAAGATTTACATACAGAGAGTTCCATATCATTTTGGATTATCTCCAAGCTTTAGCGCCAAAATACGCACATAATACTCAAAAAACATAGTATTTTCTTCTTAAACATTTTTATATTAGCCTTAAAGAATTTTTTAATGATCCATTCTTTTTAAACTTTCTGATTTTTCCCAAAAATGGCAATTTATAGCTATACACAATCTAATATGATGTATGTGGGACACCCTGTAGTACAACCTATTTAAGAGATATTAGACGTAATTTCAAGGAACCTTCCATTGAAAAAGTGTCAAGTCCGATGGTACCCTAAAACCTGATTACCGAGTCGAGAAATCCACTTTATACTCGCTGAAATAAGTATAAAAACACTGTATATTGGTGTACACTGTACACTGTACAGTGAAGCCACACAAATGGTTTTTCACATTTTCCGAATATTCTTTTTCCAACATAATCTTTTAAAATTCGAATAAAAATTATCTTTATTTTTTGTGACTCTCAAAACATTAATAATAATAATAATTTTTTAAATCTGAAGCAATTAAAGCTTTAAAGTTAATTACAAGTGCTTCTATGGAAAATTCTAGAATAACTCCGTCATATTTAAAGGGTAAAGGGTACCGTTGTGTGAATCGGACAATGATTTAAGAATTATTTATAAAATGAGAGTTATCAATCATACTTTTTATATATGTAAAACTGTAAACTGTAAACTGTAAACTGTAAACTGTAAACTGTAAACTGTAAACTGTAAACTGTAAACTGTAAACTGAAAACTGTAAACTGTAAACTGTAAACTGTAAACTAGGTGACCAGATGGTACTTCTTACGTAGAGAAGGAGATTGCCTGGAGTTCCCATGGGGTGGTTGTCAGGTAATTACATAATACATTATACAGGGGTACTCGTAAACCAAGAGATTTTAAAGACAAGTCAATGAATTCTATGTATGGCTGGATCAAATTGGCTGGCATTATAGAGGGAACCCATATGGGTCACCCACTGAAAATTTCACTTCATTTCAAGCACTGGACGGCTTTTAAGTGATCATGTTTACTGCAGACCAAGTTTCGGTGATAGATTAAATAAATAAAGATAAATATAGACAAAGCTGAAAACTTTAGAATGGTGGATATCGAGATTAATGCTTGATCCTCTCTTTTTCCTATTATCAAGACTAACCTAATCTTGTATTTGTATCCTGAAAAGTGTATAAAATTCAACCAATCAGAGTTGCATATATGAAGCCGATAAATTAAAAATTTTGCACGCCATTTAAGATTAATATACAGAAACGGGAGGGACTTTCTTTTTTTTAAAACTGGTTTTTGATTGTTCTCTACTACATCCAAGAAAGAACGGTTTAAGAAAAAAATCAAAAGTGTGTACATTGGATACTCATATTAAGTAATCTGGATTAAGGATATCTCATTCTAAAGTTTTCAGCTCTGATTAGATAAATAAAGATAGATTAAATAAATAAAGATAGCTTATATAAATATTGATAGATTATGTAGATATGGATAGATTAGATAAATATAGATAGATAGATTAGATAAATATAGATAGCAAGATTAGATAAATATGGATAGATTAGATAAATATAGATATATCTATTCTATCTATATTTATATCTAATCTATCCTTATTATCTAATATTTTTATTTATAGATGGATATAAATAAAAAGATTAGATAATAAGGATAGATTAGATATAAATATAGATAGAATAGATAAAGATAAAGATGGATTAGATAAATATAGATAAAAAGATTAGATAATGCGGATAGATAATATAAATATAGATAGATTAGATAAAAATAGATAGATTATATAAATATGGATTGATTAGATAAATATAGATAGATTAGATAAATATAGATAACAAGATTAGGTAAATACGGATAGATTAGATAAATATAGATAGATTAAGTTAATGTTTTCTTTAGATTCTGTTAAATATTCCAAGATTTTAGACTTTATGGGTTTCCTAGGCACTTAGTTTAAACATATTCACTTCCATTTTCCTAATGTCGGTGGTTTAAACGATAGTAGGTTCTAGAGACCCTTTAATTTTTCAAATAGCTTGAAAACATTTTTCCATTTAGTTTGTATTCAATTTTTTTGTTTAATTTTTTTGTTTAACAAATTTTTGAAGTTCTATTAGATGAATAGACCTCTATGGTTCTCAACGGTTTCCTTAAAATTACTTTTTAATTTCATAAGTTAGTTTTTTCTTTCTGGCATTGTCAGTTTACTTAGTGTCCATGGCTCTTTAACAAGACAAGCAAGAAGAGTTTTTAAACAATTTTAATTTTGAAATACGATAAAAGGTTTTCCTTGCCACAAACTCAAATTTTCATATTTCTTTTTCTTTGCAACCTGATGTTGCTTACCTATTATATTTCAAACTTGGACTATTAATTTATATTCATAGCTTGACATATCAAAAATCTACACATCGGGTTACAAAGAATTAAGTGAATTTTTCAGGGCAACGACAACAACTTCCTTAGTTTGGATCAATGTCGGTCAGCATGTCTAGTTTCCCCTGAGAAAGCCCGGTCACAGCACCTGGTTGCTCCTGCCCGGTCAGCTGACCGACCTCTTCTACCTCCGCCAATAGAAACCTTTGATCTATCTAATTGCCTACACGCACCAGACTCAGGTACAAGGTTGTTTATTAAGGTTTGATACTCCTGATGCACTCAAATGTACGAAGAATGTCGTCTTCATAGCAATAGACAATTAAAATCCTCATATGACGTAACAAATTATTGGTGAAAGATGAAGTGACAACGTTGCTAGTGAGAGGACTTTTTCCAATTGTCATGAAGACGACATTTCTAGTATATATCGGAGCCATTTCGGAGCACATCCAGATTGTCTACCCTTAAAGGGAGTGTTCACGAAAAATGAAAGGGGGTATAGGCTTAATGCGATAAAAAAGCGCTTTTGATCGCTTCTAATCTTACTTCTATCTGTTGCGTCTATAAGGAGAAAATTGTTAAAGACGTCTCATACCGAATAACATGGCGCCCATACAAATTGAGAAAATTGCAACATACAACTTAGACCATAAAAATCAATTTAATTTCAAACAAATCATTCAGATATTACAACCTATAGTTATCGATTATCTTTCGCCACATTTATATATAGTTAATTTTTCATAATATGTTTTAATTGTTTTGATCTGAGAGTTACTTATAAAACATTTATTCCTGTTTCGAGGATTTTTGGAAATGAAGACGACATTTTCATATTTTCCAGGAATGTTCGAAAACAAGTTGGAAGCAAAATGTTATTTTAAAAAATAAAATCAAAACATATTATGAAAAATCAACTATATATAAATGTGGCTACAGATAATCGATGACCATAGGGTGTAATATCTGAATGATTTGTTTGAAATTAAATAGATTTTTTTACGGTCTAAGTCGTATGTAGCATCTTTCTGAATTTGTATGGACACTACGTTCTTCGGTACTAGTCGTTTTTAACAATTTTCTCCTTACAGACGCAACAGATAGAAGTAAGATTAGTAGCGATCAAAAGCGCTTTTTTATCGCATTAAGCCTATACCCCCTTTCATTTTTCGCGAACACTCCCTTTAACAAAGAACCTTGTTCAGGTAGAAAATTAAGGGAATGTTCAGATATTTGGGGTAATGTGTGAGGTAACAAAGATTCTCTGTAAACTAAAATATGCACGTTCATGTCGGATTTTGGAAAATATTTGATTTAAACTGCTGATATAGAAGCAAGCACTTAATTTAATTCTTTGAAGATTAAAACTAAAGTTCAAAGTAAAACAAAAATGCACCATTTTTTCTTGAAATATCTGAAGAAAAAATCCTATGGGAAAAGGTTTTATCAAAGCAATAATCAATTTACAGGGGAAAAAGTTTAAAACAATAAGCGACAGGTTTGGGTCAGACTAACCAAGTTAACTTTTTAAACAGATTATATTTTAATTTTAGTCGAGAAGAAAAAACACCCGCATAATATACAGGTCTAGGGTGGGGCACTGCTTCCTTGTTACCCCCCCCCCCGTATACGCCCTTGTATCAAATAGTCAAGGCTACATTTTTAGACCAAATATTCAAGCATTAATTCACTAGGAATGGGGCCGGATAGTTTTCAAATCCCCTTTAATATAATTTTTAAAAAAAGATTGTTCTTATACAACTAATTATATAAAATCACACTTGTCCCCTCCTCAGTGCTTTATAGAAATTGCTATTTAAATAAAAAAAACTTAAATAATAAACATACTTTAAAGTTTCAAAAAAAGTATAAAATCTGTTAGTTTCATCCAAACAAGTTTTTTTACGTTCTACTTTTTTATGAAAACATTATTTATTTTTTTATAATGTATAGGTCCCTGTTTCTAAGATATTTATTATAATGTATAGGTCCCTGTTTCTAAGATATTTATTAATAATGTATAGGTCCCTGTTTCTAAGATATTTATTAATAATGTATAGGTCCTTGTTTCCAATATATTTATTATAATGTATAGGTTCCTGTTTCCAATATATTTATTAATAATGTATAGGTCCCTGTTTCCTATATATTTATTATAATGTATAGGTCCCTGTTTCCAAAATATTTATTAATAATGTGTAGGTCCCTGTTTCCAATATATTTATTAATAATGCATAGGTCCCTGTTTCTAAGATATTTATTAATTATGCATAGGTCCCTGTTTCCAAGATATTTTTATTATAATTTTGTATAAGGTCCCTGTTTCCAAGGTATTTATTAATAATGTTTAGGTCCCTGTTTCCAATATATTCATTAATAATGTATTGGTCCCTGTTTCCAAGATATTTATTAATAATGTATAGGTCCCTGTTTCCAAGATATTTATTAATAATGTATAGGTCCCTGTTTCCAAGATATTTATAATGTATTGGTCCCTGTTTCCAAGATATTTATTAATAATGTATAGGTCCCTGTTTCCAAGATATTTATTAATAATGTATAGGTCCCTGTTTCCAAGATATTTATTAATAATGTATAGGTCCCTGTTTCCAAGATATTTATTAATTATGTATAGGTCCCTGTTTCGACCGAATAACCAGATTTTACTATGAGGACGGAGAATGTAAAAGGTAATTTTACGATATTAGAAACTTTATTAAGAAACTTTGAACAGACAGCCCTCATACCATTCTCAATCCCCCACCCTTACACCCTCCACCTCCCCCTTCCCTGCCAACCAAATTTATTCTCTAAACTGTACACGATTCTGTACTTTCAATCTCTGGGTTTAAGACAGGTTTACTCACAAAGTGAGAGATGACTGTACGGAAAGCATACTGTCGTCTTCCTTATGCTATACGAATATATATATACGAATGTCTTTTTTTATTATATAGACTAATACGTATAAAATGTATGTTAGCGCATAGAGAGCAAGTAGAGCAAAAAGAACCGGAGCTAATTTGCATGCAGGGTTTAATGGCTACAAATGAGCTGGCCAAAAGGCTTAGAATAAAATATGAGGACTGTCTTGTCTAAAAGATATGTGTGTTGTTGACAAATTGACGGATTCTTTGATAACTTTCTCTTGACGTAACAAAACTGCGTGATTTTGCCAAAGTTCGTCGTTTCTCTGAATTTCATATTTTTTGCACGAAACTTTGCGCATTAATGTTTTAATTTAGCATGAAACAGATTAATAATATAAGTTTGTAAATGTATAAATATAGAAAAAAATCAATTGAAAAAGATTTCTCAGAAATCTAAATTGCGAAAAATTATCTTTGAATCATGGCATCACATTTTAAAGACCGATTTTCTTCAGGTATATCTGTTGATAGGCTGTTATGTGAGAAAAGTAAAATATATTTTAATTCAATTAATTTATGCCTATTTTTCCTACTTGAAATAACCCTCGTTTAAAACACCCCCACCCCTCCTCCGTCCCCCGTAATACTACTCTAGGAAAATTCTTTAGTTTGTTTTTCATAATATATTGGCAATAAGATCATTCGGGAAAGAATTTTTATATCATTTCTTTTCTTCAGAACACAATAGTTTTATTCACACTCAATTATACGGTTTATGGAGCTTCTCTTTAGCTTGTATTGGACCGGGGGAAATAGTTTCTGTAAACCAAATCTAGAAAACATTAAAAAATATATAATTATGAAACTAAACGAAATCTAGAAAACATTAAAAAATATATAATTATGAAACTAAACAAAAAAAATCGCAGGTTTTTCTTTTTCTATAGAATTTACCTTCATTTTAAAATGCTCCTAATGCACATAAGTGCGCAAAGCACTAAAAATGAATAGTTTTATAAATTTCTTCTTTTCAATCTGTCCAATATGTTGATTGGTTTCCATTTATCAATTATAGGCCTGGATAACAAATATATATAATTACTTCGGAAACATATTCTTTACTGTCCTCCCCATGAAAAACATCTTCCATAATAGATAAATAGATAAATAGATAAATAGATAAATAGATAAATAGATAAATAGATAAATAGATAAATAGATAAATAGATAAACAGATAAATAGATTAATAGATAAATAGATAAATAGATAAATAGAGAGACAGATAGATATTTATTCTAATTCGATAATATAGCAAAAATACAAATATTTAACGTGCAATTGAGTCATCTAGCGAAAACTGTGCAAATAAATTAGCGCGAAATATGACCTGCTTGATTGTGTTCTAAGCATTCAGGCACACTATAGTTTCAGTAAAAGTAGATATTTCCATTTACTGACCACCTAGAACATGTACAACCCAATTCATCATGTATATTAAATTATGGGTTTTAGCTGGGTTTTAGCTGGGGGGGGGGGGGTTGTAGGTAACCACAATAACCCCCTTACTTACGCCTTTGAGAAGAACAAAGAAAAAATGATTTTAAAGACGAAAGAAAGAAAGAATAGCTCACCATAGTTTTAGTAGAAGTATAAATTTCCATTTATTGATAGCGCCAATTGAAGGATTCATAAATCTGATTGGATAATGAGATAGATGTCACCGCTATGCAATTTCTATTGGTTCAGAATAGACAACAAACACATGACTGAACCCTGATTGGATCAGGCGCTAATGGACGCATACAAGAGTGGGCAGTATGATTTTTCTGAAATGAGGAACATGATGCTACTCAGAAGAATCTAAAAAAATATTTAGAATTTTTTGTTGTTACATAAAACTATTGATTTGCTTAATAAAGATTATTATTAAATAATTTCTATGTGTTCAAGGTTTGATTATGGTGGATGTGCTGGGAATTCAAACAATTTCTTTACCGAGGGAGAGTGCTTGAGAAAATGTGTGTCTGGCCCCCAAACTGGATCCATGAGGGGGGCAAGAGAGGATGGAACCCCTGTGAGGGGGTTCAGAGGGGAAGTGCCCAGTATCCCAAGAGATAATGTTTTTGATGCTTGCGCTTTTCCTGAAGATCAAGGTAGGCAGTTTTATTGACCTGGATCTTGACTAGATCTTGATCTTTACTAGATCTTGATCTTTACTAGATCTTGATCTTTACTAGATCTTGATCTTGACAGATCTTGATCTTGACTAGATCTTGATCTTTACTAGACCTTGATCTTGACTAGATCTTGATCTTGACTAGATCTTGATCTTGACTAGATCTTGATATTGACTAGATCTTGATCTTGACTAGATCAAGATCTTGACTAGATCTTGATCTTCACTAGATCTTGATCTTCACTAGATCTTGATCTTCACTAGATCTTGTTTGGATCTTAATTTTGACTATATCTTGGCTTGATGTGGATTGACATAAATCTTGACTAGATGATATATTGATCGTAATATTTATATTGATCTTCATATTTATATTTTTTTGATATTTAAATTGATCTTGATATGTATGTGAATCCTGATACTGATTGATGTAAATCTTCATTTATAATTTGTCTATGAGCTTTACTTTATCTTTGATCTAAAAATGTTGAATATGAATTAAAAGAAGTATGTTTGGTGCAGGATCCTGTGATGAGAGTTTAACTAGATACAGATGGGATTCAAGGATTAAGCAGTGTGTTAGGTAAATATCTGGTTTAAGGATTCCAAAATTAAATATCTTAGGTCTAAAAGTCAGTACTTTGCTATTTTGAACAAAAATCTTCCAAATTGATGCTTAGATAAAGGCTAAGGATACCGTTGTGAATCGTTAATGACATTCTTAAAATTTCGAATTACTTAAATTAATTTGATCAATCCTTTGAAACATGAAAGACGACCTCTATATCTTGTAAATAATGCCGTGTATATGACAGACAACCTCTGTATCGTGTAAATAATTCCGTGTATATGAAAGACGACCTCTGTATCTTGTAAATAATACCATGTACATGAAAGACGACCTCTGTATCTTGAAAATATTGCCGTGTATATGAAAGACGACCAACAATGTGATGTAGATGAAAGACGACCTCTGTATCTTGTAAATAATGCCATGTATATGAAAGACGGCGTCTATGTCTTGTAAATAATGCCGTGTATATGAAAGACGACCTTTGTATCTTGAAAATATTGCCGTGTATATGAAAGATTACCGCTGTATCTTGTTTAAGCAATGCCGTGTAGATAAAAGACGACCTCTGTATCTTGTAAACAATGCCGCGTAAATGAAAAACGACCTTTGTATCTTGTATATTAAGGTTTACCTGGAGTGGTTGCGGAGGAAACAGTAACAATTTTATCTCTGCGGAGAAATGTCGGAACCGATGTGACATCTAGTCTCTCAAGATCTACACTTCAGCAAAGCGGATGGGCTGACCAAGAGAATGTAAATATCTACAGAGCCACCATGAAAACGTGTTTATAAAATTGCATAAAATTCTAATGGATAAAATTGAAACTCTTAAAATAACACAATTTCAAGTTTTAATTTAGTCTTCTGCCTTGGATCAACTAGGTGAGATTAGATATCTACGAAGTCGCCATTGAAAATTGTCTGTTTTCATTATTTTCCCGATTTCTTGAGAAGATAAGCTTAAAATAACAACAAGAAAATATTTCATATATGAATTTTGTTGAAAGCATAAATTTTTCATCTTTTTTGATAAAAATATTTTTTTTTAACTACAAATATGCATGTTCTAAATTCTCATTATAATATTCCAACGTATGTATAAATCTACCAAGAGCTTCTTGAGAGCTTAATTTTTGCATTTTGTGTTATTTTGAAAAGTATAGTTTGATAATTGTATTGAATGTATTTAAAAGACCGGTTTATTTTTATCAAAAACCTTGATTTAAAGAGACTGTTCAGTAATTTCAAGTGACTCTCATATTGAAGGCAAATGAAAATAAACAGTGTAACGAAACAAAAATATTAATATTTTATTCATACTTGATAATACAAAGCTTGGTACCGTTGTGAATCAGGCATTGCCATTTTAAAATTGAGGGTTACTTGAAATTACGCTTACAGTCCCTTTAAGAGTGTTTGTCATGTTGTAAGAAATTGTACACAGATAAAAAAAATGTGAAAAATATATCATCAAAAATTTTATTTTATTCAAATTGGAAATCGAAATTTCTTGATATGTTTATAATTACGTTATGAACTAGACATTCGTTAGTGAAAATTATTTTACAATTGTAATTCTGCTTTCAAAGATGCCAGAAATATAGAAGATATCGTTTAGGTTTCATAAATAAAGTAAATTAGTCTCAGCATCCAATATATGTGTCCTTTTTCTAATATATAAAGAAGGAAGCTGTCCAACCTTCTTATAAAAACATCTATCTTTAGGGACAAATTATATACATAAGCTAATATTTATCATATATACAAAAACTTATGTATTGAAGCAATAATAATAAAAACATTTCCTTTCTTGGTTGTATTGACAAGGCGTAATGTTTTACTTATTTTCAATACTCAATACCTAGATATTGAGGAAAACGGCCTACCTTCATCATTATCCTGGTCCACCTTCATCTTTATCTTGGTCTACCTTCATCACTATCTTTATCTTGGTCTACCTTCAACTTTATCTTGGTCTACCTTCATCTTTATCTTTATCTTGGTCTACCTACATCTTTATCTTTATCTTGGTCTACCTTCATCTTCATCTTTATCTTGGTCTACCTTCATCTTTATCTTTATCTTGGTCTACCTTCATCTTTATCTTTATCTTGGTCTACCTTTATCTTTATCTTCATCTTGGTCTACCTTCATCTTTATCTTTATCTTGGTCTACCTTCATCTTCATCTTTATCTTGGTCTACCTTCATCTTATCTTGGTCTTCTTTTATTGTTATCTTGGTCTACATTCATCTTTATCTTGGTCTACCTTCATCTTTATCTTGGTCTACCTTTATCTTTATCTTGGTCTACCTTCATCTTTATCTTGGTCTACCTTTATCTTTATCTTGGTCTACCTTCATCTTTATCTTGGTCTACCTTCATCGTTATCTTGGTCTACCTTCATCTTTATCTTGGTCTCCCTTAATCATTATCTTGGTCTACCTTCATCTTTATATTGGTCTACCTTTATCTTTATCTTGGTCTACCTTCATCTTTATCTTGGTCTACCTTTATCTTTATCTTGGTCACCTTTATCTTTATCTTGGTCTACCTTCATCTTTATCTTGGTCTACCTTAATCTTTATCTTGGTCTACCATCATCTTTATCTTGGTCTACCTTCATCTTTATCTTGGTCTACCTTCATCGTTATCTTGTTCTACCTTTATCTTTATCTTGGTCTACCTTCATCTTTATCTTGGTCTACCTTCATTTTTATCTTGGTCTACCTTCATCTTTATCTTGGTCTCCCTTAATCATTATCTTGGTCTACCTTTATCTTTATCTTGGTCTACCTTTATCTTTATCTTGGTCTACCTTTATCTTTATCTTTATCTTGGTCTACCTTTATCTTTATCTTTATCTTGGTCTACCTTTATCTTTATCTTGGTCTACCTTTATCTTTATCTTGGTCTACCTTTATCTTTATCTTTATCTTGGTCTACCTTTATCTTTATCTTGGTCTACCTTTATCTTTATCTTGGTCTACCTTTATCTTTATCTTGGTCTACCTTTATCTTTATCTTGGTCTACCTTTATCTTTATCTTGGTCTACCTTTATCTTTATCTTTATCTTGGTCTACCTTTATCTTTATCTTGGTCTACCTTTATCTTTATCTTGGTCTACCTTTATCTTTATCTTTATCTTGGTCTACCTTTATCTTTATCTTGGTCTACCTTTATCTTTATCTTGGTCTACCTTTATCTTTATCTTTATCTTGGTCTACCTTTATCTTTATCTTGGTCTACCTTTATCTTTATCTTGGTCTACCTTTATCTTTATCTTTATCTTGGTCTACCTTTATCTTTATCTTGGTCTACCTTTATCTTTATCTTGGTCTACCTTTATCTTTATCTTTATCTTGGTCTACCTTTATCTTTATCTTGGTCTACCTTTATCTTTATCTTGGTCTACCTTTATCTTTATCTTTATCTTGGTCTACCTTTATCTTTATCTTGGTCTACCTTTATCTTTATCTTGGTCTACCTTTATCTTTATCTTTATCTTGGTCTACCTTTATCTTTATCTTGGTCTACCTTTATCTTTATCTTGGTCTACCTTTATCTTTATCTTTATCTTGGTCTACCTTTATCTTTATCTTGGTCTACCTTTATCTTTATCTTGGTCTACCTTTATCTTTATCTTTATCTTGGTCTACCTTTATCTTTATCTTTATCTTGGTCTACCTTTATCTTCATCTTGTTCTACCTTTATCTTTATCTTGGTCTACCTCTACCTTTATCTTTATCTTGGTCTACCTTCATCTTTATCTTGGTGTACCTTCATTTTTATCTTGGTCTACCTTCATCGTTTTCTTGGTCTACCTTCATCTTTATCTTTATCTTGGTCTACCTTCATCTTTATCTTGGTCTACCTTCATCGTTATCTTGGTCTACCTTTATTTTTATCTTGGTCTTCCTTCATCTTTATCTTGGTCTACCTTCATTTTTATCTTGGTCTACCTTCATCTTTATCTTGGTCTACCTTCATTTATCTTCATCTTGGTCTACCTTTATCTTTATCTTTATCTTGGTCTACCTTTATCTTCATCTTTATCTTGGTCTACCTTTATCTTTATCTTTATCTTGGTCTACCTTTATCTTTATCTTGGTCTACCTTTATCTTTATCTTGGTCTACCTTCATCTTCATCTTTATCTTGGTCTACCTTCATCTTATCTTGGTCTTCTTTTATTGTTATCTCGGTCTACCTTAATTTTTATCTTGGTCTACCGTTATCTTTATCTTTGTCTACCTTCATCTTTATCTTGGTCTACCTATCTTTATCTTTATCTTGGTCTACCTTTATCTTCATCTTGGTCTATCTTTATCTTTATCTTTATCTTGGTCTACCTTTATCTTTATGTTTATCTTGGTCTACCTTTATCTTTATCTTGGTCTACCTTCTTCTTTATCTTTATCTCTGCAAGCGAAAGCAATCTCGTGAAACAGACGTAATCACAAAAAGAATGAGAAAATACTGCAGATATTTGCAACATGGACTTAAAACTCAAGAAAAGGACTGCTCAATATCTTTAAATTTGTGCTTTTCCATTTTGTTAAAATACGTCACAACTTTGCAGTACTTGGAAAATATTTTAAAAGTGCGAAAAATCCTTATCAAATTAATTATTAATCGGTGGCATTTCTCGACTTTAATCTGTAAACTAACTCTATATAACAATTAAACAATTCATTCACACTTATCATGATTCTTCAAACAAACTTCTTTTATACTGAGCAGTGATCTATCCCTGTATTCCTAACTAAATCTTACTTCCGTGTACTTAGTTGGATAGTGGGTAGTTAGGAATAATTCAGGGGTAAGGACATTTTTAAGGAATACAGGGAATAAACAGGGTAACCCACAAAGGATGAAAGGACGACTGTACGGAATTTATACTGTCTGTTTTCTTATATCCATGATTCCCTACAAATTGTTTTTTATTTGCCCAATCAATGGAAAGGCAATATAAAGAGATAATTCGACCTTGGAATCGTCAAGTTTTCAGTTCGCCGTCTGTACAGTCTCATTCTTTGTGGGTAACCCTGTATATATTATATATTTGGCTTGTCTTATAGTTCAAATTCACATCAGGGAAGGTTAAAGAATTCAATTTGAAAATATTTGTATATCCACCAATGTAAACAAAGAAATCTGTAAAATCTTTAGTTCTTATTCCTGTTTAGCAACAATTAAGTGTGCATTGCAACTGACTAAGAGAGATGATTAATCGTTTATTTTTGAACTTTTTACATTTTGTACAATTTGTTACATACTTGTGAGGAGAAGAATTGAATGGTTGAAACATGAAAAGAGAACGAATCTGCAGGTCTTGGAAACTGTTATATTAAAGGAACTGTTATATTAAAGGAACTATTATATTAAAGGAACTGTTATATTAAAGGAACTGTTATATTAAAGGAACTATAATATTAAAGGAACTGTTATATTAAAGGAACTGTTATATTAAAGGAACTATTATATTAAAGGAACTGTTATATTAAAGGAACTGTACACATAATTTCAAGTGTTCCTCAATTAGAACGTTGCCCTTTATTGGATTAAAAATGAGGGATGTATCGATTTTCTTCCTTCATTGTCTCGGCTGACATAAATCCGCACTTTACTTTTACAAAAACCGCAATTGAATACTATTTATACTAGCTGAAGTGTCCACCGTTGCCGGTGGAAAAAAAACTATTTTTAAAGAAAAAAAATCTATCAAAAAAAACCTTCTTTTTTTCGCCTAATATGTTACCACCAGGGTACCTGCACGGGTTCCCTCAAAAAAAAGTTTTATTATATAGAAACCTATAAAAAATTAATCATATTTGCTCATAAACAAGGGTCTAGCTGACACTGGAAATTACGTGGACGGTCCCATTAATTTGTTTCAGTTATAATCTCTGAAAGTGTGTCTGCGTTCTAGGCAATCTAAACTTAGTAGAACAAAACATAGTTTAGTTTTTTCTTAATCTTTTTAAATTCTTCCTCTGCACACTGTTACTGTTATCAAGATGCCATCGATGCAGTACATGTTTGCATATTATAGCTTAAAGAGATTGCCAACATAATTTCAGGTAACCCTCCGGTTTAGAGGGACACGTCCGATTTACAACGGTACCTTTAAACCTGTATCTTAATAAATTAATCAGTTTTAAGATAGAAAAGGAGTGATAACTACATTATTTTTACTCCGAAATAGGTTTAAAAAGCACAGGTGTAAATTGGACACTATACACTATCATGTTCAATTGCAATGACGACTACCATTCCTTTAAGAATCAAAAAGTAGATAAAAAGAATTTACAAGATAAAATTGCAATTGGATATTTATTATAAACTGCAGATGGATATTTATTATAAACTGCAATTGGATATTTATTTTATTTTTCATATCATATATAATGTAATGAAGGAGTGTCTAACTGCAGGGTTAGGGACGAAAACACTCTGATTGATAATGTACATAAAATCATGTGTTCTTCATGCTAAAACAAAACCTAAATTATTTGGTTTGAGTCGAGTACAACACAAATACTAAACTCAGGCCAGATTTTTTAATTGTCAGTTTGCTGAAGATTGAATGCGAAGTTAATGAAGCCACTTAAGGATTGATATTAGAAAAGCGATTGCTTAAAGTTAGCATTTGTATCGATTTACTTTGTTTATGAAAAATTCTTGAATTTAAAAGATTATTAGGGAGGGCTCGGATTAAAAGAGCGGGGATTCAGGAAGAAAAGAATATTTTTTAAATAAACGTTTTCAACATTTTGCTAGGTGTGAATCTCCCAACTGTCCTGCATTCCCCCCCCCCCTCCCTCCTCTCTCTTTGTTTATCTTGATATAAAATATATTGATGCGCAAATGAAAACAAAACCATCAGAAATGGTTTTCTCCAAAGGATTCCAGATTTTCTTATTAGTTTCTAGATTATCTCCGCATGGGTTTATAAGGTTATGAATAGAATAGAAGAACATAAATAATCTTATTCTCCGGGTCTATGGTTTAGACCAGTATGGTCTCTAGGTCTATAGACCACCAGACTCGGAGAAGATTTATTCTAAGTGAATAAAAAGAAAATTTACATTTGGCTCAACCTTTAGTCTGGTTTGCAGATTGAGATTGAGCCTGGTTTGGACCAGGTTTGAACTAGTTTTGTGCCGGGGTTTTAATCATCTTTTTTATAAGAATATTATTTAACATTGATCCAGGTCCAGACCATTTAAAAACAGCTGTGTACAGATAAAGTTTGATTTAGGTTTAAACAAGGTTAATTTGAAGTCAAACATTAAAGAAACAGAACGTATAGAAACCGCTAGGTAGGGAGAATATTTTTATATTTTAGAGAAATTAAACTTTTTTGTAAAACATTGTAGCTTATTATTATCAATATCATTATTTTTATTTAACATATCCTAGACACTATACAGCTAACTAGATTAATGTGTACATTTGTACTGCTCTCTCTGTTTATTATGTACTGACATCATAAATGAATGCTTACACCCTTAAATAAAATTGTGTGTTATTATTTTTTGTTACTATCTTATGAAAATGATATCTTCACTCTACAGCTTATTTTTACAAAAAAAAAAAAATTTCTCAAAAACATAAAAAAAGTTCTTTGGTAATGCTAATATGATTAAATAAAATTCCGTGTTACCATTTAAATAAAAGGATTTTATGAAAATTATATCTACTTCACACTGATTATTTAATTTCTCAAAAATATAAAAAATGTTCTCCCGGAAAATACGCTTTGTTGCTATACGTAGCGGTTTCTATACGTTGGATTTCTAAAATGTTTGCCTCCGTTAATTTAGGGTTTAAACAAATTTTGGTTGAGGAAAGGTTTCCAAAACAAGTTTGAATTTGGTTCGGACCATTTGTAAACCAAGTTTGCACCAGGTTTAAACCATGCAGGCATGGGATTAAGTTTGATTCATGTTTGGAGTTGGACCATGTTTGGACCATGTTTGGACCATGTTTGGAATAAGTTTGGACCATGTTTGGAATAAGTTTGGTTCCTGTTTGGACCATGTTAAGATCGATCATGATTTAACCATATTTGAACCAGGTTTAATCTTGGATTTTCCCAGCTGTTTGAAACATGTTTGGATGTTAAGTTTTTGGCCAGGATCTGAATATTCAGTTATGATCATTGTTATCAGATAATTTAACATGAAAAAGAGATTAAACTATAAATATCACGGGAGATTAAACTAGGAATTTCAACAGGGAAATACGTCGGACAAATGCAAAATATATTAATTGAAGATAAGGCAAAGGAGCAGAGTAAATCTGTTCTGAACAGACTAAATATCTAGGTTTGATCTTGATCTTAGCCTTGATCTTGATCTTGATCTTGATCTTTATCTTGGTCTTGATTTAGATCTTGATCTTGTCTTGATTTAGATCTTGGTCTTGGTCTTTAGGGAAGAGCTCCGAGGTTCTGATTCAATCAGTCTCTTCATCTTCAGGCTCCTCGTCAATAAACTCGGATCCAAAGAAGCAACAGCAAAGATCTAAACAGGGAAATGCTCAAAAGTATCTTTTATAAGGTTTCGAGAGCTAATAACATCCTTGTGATTCTCGTTCATTCTCAAAACCCTTTCATAAGAATTTCCATAAAACACCAAAGTCCGAAGAGTAAGCTCTCGATCTGGAAGTTTCAAAATGGAAACAAATACGACTTGGTTTGTCCTATCTAATATCTATGTAATCTGTAGAAACAATATAAGAACAAAGTTATAAAATTGAACTGTCAAATACAAGAAATTCGAGGATTTTGCCCTGGCTGTATTTTACTTACATTTTGCCAAAATTGTAAAAAAAAAAAAAAAAGAAGGCATTACTTATCTTAACCCATAGCAGAGAATGGATCTATGATGAATTAGATCTATGTTACCTAATGGAGTAAGTGAGAATCTAAGATGAATAAGATCTATATGCTACTTAATGAAGTAAGTGAGAACCTAAGATGAATAAGATCTATGTTATCTAATGGAGTAAGTGAGGATCTAAGATGAATAAGGTCTATGTTACCTAATGGAATAAGTGAGGATCTAAGATGAATAAGGTGTATGTTACCTAATGGAGTAAGTGAGGATCTAAGATGAATAAGATCTATGTTACATAATGGAGTAAGTGAGGATCTAAGATGAATAAGATCTATATGTTACCTAATGGAGTAAGTGAGGATCTAAGATGAATAAGATCTATGTTACATAATGGAGTAAGTGAGGATCTAAGATGAATAAGATCTATATGTTACATAACGGAGTAAGTGAGGATCTAAGATGAATAAGATCTTTATGTTACCTAATGGAGTAAGTGAGAACCTAAGATGAATAAGATCTAAGTTACCTAATGGAGTAAGTGAGGATCTAAGATGAATAAGATCTATATGTTACCTAAGGGAGTAAGTGAGAATCTAAGATGAATTATATCTATGTTACCTAATGAAGTAAGTGAGGATCTATGATGAATTAGATCTATGTTACCTAATGAAGTAAGTGAGAATCTAAGATCAATAAGATCTATGTTACCTAACGGAGTAAGTGAGGATCTAAGATGAATTATATCTATGTTACCTAAGGGAGTAAGTGAGGATCTAAGATGAATAAGATCTATGTTACCTAATGGAGTAAGTGAGGATCTAAGATGAATAAGATCTATATAAATTTAAAATTCAGTGATGGTGATGGACCAAACCTCTGTAGAGTAAAAAAGTAGATGTTAGTTCCACATTTATTGAAAATATATTTCTATCTATGTTACCTAACGGAGTAAGTGAGGATCTAAGATGAATAAGATCTATGGCTGCTGTACATATTGTGATAAAGGCAATATCGGTATTAGGTCCAACTTCAAGGCTGTACATTTGGTTCTCCGTGCTCCGCTGTACCTGTACAGAAACAATGTTGTACACTGTACAGTTTATTTTTACAAATTAAAATTGTTTTAAAAGTTTAGTTCAGGGCGGCGTAATTCAAGAAAAGTAATTGAGTCTTTGTCACAAACTCTGATTTTCTAATTCCAATATCTTAGCAACCCAATGTCGTTGACCCTAGATATTTCAAACCATAAATTTATCTAAGCTTGAAATATCATGTGTTAACCCCATCAGGTTGCAAAGATATTGAAATTAGAACATTTGAGTTTGTGACAAAGATCCTAAAAAACGCTCGAATTCTTTGTGAGGATTAAGTTTGTGTTTAAATGTATGAAAGTGTCTCTTCCATGTCACAATTTTTCCAGTTGAGTTGGTTATATCACGTCAGAAAGATGAAAAAGTGCAATTTCTTCTTGGTCTTTTCATTTTACAAACCTGAGCAATCTTTTTATCAGCCATTTTGAAATAGAACTGATGAGACCCTATGTCTCCCACAACCTGATTTTTATAAAATCAAAATTTAAAAAAAAGTTTTTAATGTTTTATTTATTTTTGTCAATCGAAGAAGGGTTTGAATACTGTAAAATTAATGGTTTTAATGTGATAGTTCCCCTGTCTGTTTTTATATAATTCCTTATAAGTTTTTTGCATTATTTATAAAAAAAATGCCGCTAAGACAATTTAGCGGATTTCTCGTATTAACCGACGAATTATATCAATATACTTGTCAGCTACTTAGAAAAACAATGTTATTGATATATCATACTTTTTTATCCTAATCGACAAAGAAACTACCTTGTAGGTATTAAATTCACACACAAAAATTCGACTCGGTTTTGGATCCAAATAAACCAACGAACCAGCGCCCGGACAAGGCGAATATGTATAACTGCTGTACATTTCAGAATGAATGAAATATTATTTTAGATTTTCATTTGTATAATTTCAAATAGACTTACTAATAAGCCTTTTTTGGGGTTCATGCCAAGCCATTTATATTCCAAAATTCTACTATAAAATATTTTAGTTTAGTGTACATATAAAAGAAATGCATGGTTGGTTTGTTGATATTTTAGTTTAGTGCATATATATATTGTATGTATATATATATAAGAAATGTGGTTGGTGTGCTGATATTTTGCTTAAATTTGAATAAAAACTGATGTATTGTGTCCGCATAATCTAACATATCTTGCTACCACTAGAAAACTAAAAGAAACAGAAACAAAAATTAATCCAATAAAGATTTTACAATATTTTAGACGGAGGGTTGAAGTTGCGGGGCGGAGGGGGGGGGGAATATTTTGAAAATTTGTATCTTTTATATTTCAACACTATTACATAGTCCTCAACAAAATTTACTTGAAAAAGAGCAATCTTAACTCAATAAAGGATTGCAGTTGAGGGGGGGTAGTCCTATATTTGAAAAATTTTATAAAAAATTTATAAACAAATTTCCGAATTCTCATTTTTTAATTTTTTTACCGAAAAAAAATTAGAACAATACTTAATATAATAATTTCGAGTCAGAATTAGAATGTTGTATTAGGGTAATTTTTACGATTTACGGCTTGTTGGCTGCAATACTACTTCCTTTTTTTAATTGGATATTTTATATAGTCCAGAATTCGGAGAATTTTCTCTTTTTCGGGATCCTTAGAAATATTTATGCTAATTCTAAACACTTTTTTAAGCATAAAAACTTTAAATTTATTTGATTTTTTTCCCTTGATATTTGGATTTCGTCTTGAGCATTCTGTTTCTTCTAAAGGAAGAGGATCCTAAATAATAAATAAAATTTTACAAATTTTACTTTAAAAAAAACTTTTTGCTTTTTAAATAATTACCTGGTGAATGTAAATAAACACTTTGCTGTTTTTCCCTCTAAAAATAGATTGTTATAATTTAAAAATAAATTGTTATAATTTTTTTTTTTATTTGAGGTGATCATAATTTAATTGTGTTGAGCTTATTTTTCTTACGCCTTGGTTTCAAAATATACTTTTGGGCCAAAACTGTTTAATCTAAGAAATATATTTAATTTCGAGTTCTTTAATTTGATAATTAGTCTATTTAAGTTTTTATCTGATCTAAATCTGACAGAATTTTAATTTAAGAACAATAAAAGGAAATATGTAACCAACAAGGACATTTTTAAATGGCTAATAATAATAATAAGATAATGATTTGTAAATTAATTGTTTTTTATGATATTGATAATAACTAGATGATAAATTAAACTAATTAATTAATACGATAATGATTTGTTAATTAATTACTTAAAATAATATATTTTAATGGATTAAAATATAAATCACAAATTTATGATAATTATATGATAGATTTGATAAACAATTACAATATTGATTATTGGATATATATATATATATATGTTATAAATGATAATAAATAGGATTTCATATAGATTTAAATATTAATAAAATTATATCATGACTTTAATCCTGATAAAAAATTGATAGTATTTCAAAGGAATTGAGTCTTTGCCACAAATTCAGTTTTTGTAACACCTACATCTCTGTAACCTTATGATGTAAACCTTTGATATTTCAAACTTACATTATTTGATCTAATATCATTCATAGTTTAAAATATTAAAGGTCTACGACATTGGGTTGCAAGTATTGAAATTAGAAAATCAGAGTTTTTTACAAAAACTCAATTCCTTTAGGATAATTAGCTTCCTAGACCAACAAGTAGATGATAGATTCAGAGCTTGTTTGCCTAATTAATGATAATTATCTGATTAGTTATTTGTATAATTATGGTTAATAATATATTTAGTTTTCTATAAATTGTTTTAATTATTTGTATTCGTCTAGATATCTGAACCCACCCAACCTGTATTGGTTGTGTGGATACCTACCTATAATGATGAACTAGAGTTGCAACAACGTCTCCGGAGGAGTCTCCCAATTTTATCTAAATTAAAAAGCTAGATAATAATGTAACCTTTTCACGATAGGAACCAGGAGAATTAATGGAACCAGGAGAATTAAGGGAACCAGGAGAATTAAGGAAACCAATAGAATTAATTGAACTAGGAGAATTAAGGGAACCAGGAGAATTACGGGAACCAGGAGAATTAAAAGAACTGAAACACCTAGGGTCCTTAGGGAACCAGGAAAACCGGGTAACCAGGGAACCCCACGGAAACACAGAAGAACCAAGGGCACAAAAAGAACCAGGGAAACTAGGGAAGGAAACAAGGGAAACCAGGGAAGGAAACCAATGATTGAAACCAGGGAAACAAAGGAGAAACGAAGAGGCGACGAGAAATGAAGAAAGGAGGAAAACCCAACTGTAAAGTAAGAATCCTGGATTTGGTTTTTCACCGCTTTATTCTATTCCTTGGTTTAATTCAAGGCCAATGCGGAAAATCTAGTTAATTAATTAGATAAATAGAGATAGATAGATAAATATATAAAATTAGATAGTTAGATATACACAGAAATAGATAGATGAATATCAAAAAATAGATAGATATAAAGATATTGATATTTAGATACATACGGAAACTTAATAGATTTATAGATAGACAGATAAATAGATAGATAGATAGATAGATAGATAGATAGATAGATAGATAGATAGATAGATAGAGAGATAGATAGATAGATAGATAGATAGATAGATAGATAGATAGATACTGAAAACTGAAAACTGAAAACTGAAAACTGAAAACTAAAAACTGAAAACTGAAAACTACGCAAAAAATATTTTCATTATCAAACTCAGAAATTTATTTATCTAGGATTCTGTATTTTAAGTTCACTGACACCGCACGCACTACCTCTTATTCCCCTCCCCCCAACAAAAACTAAAAAAAATGTCAGGCATCATGTTTAAACGTTTTAAATGTTTCCATGGTTAAATGTTTAAGAATTGAGTCGTTGCCACAAACTCAAACTTCGCTAATCCCTTAATCTTCACAACCTGATATTGTAAACCTTGGTTATTTTAAACTAATTTAACAGAATGCATAGTTTGAAAAATCTGAGGCTTTGGGTCAGAAAATCAGGTTTAGATTCCTAAATGATATTCTGAAAAATTTATGAAGTAGTTAAACTAGATGTATTTGGTTAAACTACTTCTTCTGTAGTTTGGTCTAGCAATCTTATTGGTTGAAATAAACCTTGGCACGATTCCCGACCTACTATTGGTTCTTGAGGCACTGAGCTTGTCTCCGAGAGATGACACAAATTACAAGTTGACACTAGATTTTTAAATATTTGTTTGTCATTTTAGATCTTTTTAAAGGTAAACCCCTAAGCTGCAGGTTTGTATGATTATAAATATTATGAAAATTTAAAAATGATTTATGTGAGGAAATTTGAAAATAGTTTCTTTAAAGAAAATCCGGTGCTATATTCGAAATAGTCTTCTAGAGTGTATTATGTGATGAAGTATGGTTTAAATTATAGCTGCGGCGGTCAAGTTTATTGATTTAATAAAAAGGTATATTTCTACAATCTAATTTGATTTAGATACAGGGTGTCCCAATAAACATGGGAATTCAGTGACGAATTCGATATCGTCTTTTTAAATAATTCTTTGATTTAGTATAGTGATACCTACTGAGAAAGCTGTAATCTGTAACAGTTTCGTCTGCTATGTTCACATTTTGTTTGTTTATGTTTTCACTGCATAAGGCTGTACTTAGTAAAAAAAGAAAATTGCAGTACACAAACAGAGTAAACTTGTCCGTCTTCACTGTTCATCTAGAGAAGACATTATAGACACATCTTTACAGTTTTTTACCCTTTTCATAAAATAAACTCTGGCAGACATAATAATATCATGGCTTTTGAAATTAGGTATTACCATGCTAATTCATAACAAAGACGATATCCAATTCGTCACTGAATTCCCATGTTTTTTGGGACACCCTGTATTATTCATTATTTACTCACCCAAGCTGTAGTTTCTAAACATCTGATTTTGTTTTCTACAGTTGCAAGAACATTCCCAGCATCATCACTGTACTCAGTACAGGTATTCAACAACAGAAACAGGAGGAGGGGGGGGGGAGTGGTGGTGTGTAAGTTACACGAGGACTAAGAGGACCAGAAGGACGCAGAGGACCAGGAGGACGAACAGGACCAGAAGGACGAACAGGACCAGGAGGGGGTAGGTGAAGGAACAGGAGGACTAAGAGGACTAGGAGGACGAAGAGGACCAGGAGGGGGTTGATGAAGGACCAGGAGGGGGTAGGTGAAGGAACAGGAGAACTCAGAGGACCAGGATCGAGGACTAAGAGGACCCGGATCTAGGACTAGGAGGACCAGGAGGACTAAGAGGAAAAGGAGGGGGTTTGTGGAGGAACAGAAGAAAGAGGACCAAGAGGACCAAGACGCAGAAAACGACTAAGAGGGGGGGGGCTAAGAAAGTACGGAAAAAGTAGAAAAATCGAGTAAGATATTGAAATTAGAGAATATATAACAAGGAAGTAGATTTAACAAATCAAAGAAAACGACTAATGAAAACGAGGTCGGAAATTGGGGGAGAGCACTTGCACCCCCTCCCCATCCCTACAATAACTTGTAGCTTTAAAGAAACAAAAGATAAGAAAGTAGAAAGAAGAAGAATGAAGAAAATAATAATAAATAAATATTCAAATATTTAGAAAACTGTATTTCCTGAACTCCAGGCAACAGGATAGAAAACTTCCTAAACATTTAAAAAGTTAGTTTTCTCCGGAAATAAATAAATAGTGTGAACACTTTTTTATTTATATCTTCTTTATGTTCAGAGGGAAATAATAAATAAATATTTTTAAATATAAAAGGATTTATTTTTAACTACTCCAATTCAGAAAATTGATTTAAATAATAATTTTTGAAAGAAAAAAAAAACATTCATTCATTTATTCTTGATTAGAGCTAAAGAAAGTGGATTGTATCTTTATACGAGTAAAAGAAAGGAAGTGGATTGTATCTATATATTGAGTAAAATATAATAGAAGGTGATTGTATCTATATATTGAGTAAAAGATAAAGGAAGTGGATTGTATCTATATATTGAGTAAAAGAAAAAGGAAGTGAATTGTATCTATATATTGAGTAAAAGAAAAGGAAGTGGATTGTATCTATATAGTGAGTAAAAGAAAAGGAAGTGGATTGCATTTATATATTGAGTAAAAGATAAAGGAAGTGGATTGTATCTATATATTAAGTAAAAGAAAAGGAAGTGGATTGTATCTATATATTAAGTAAAAGAAAAGGAAGTGGATTGTATTTATATATTGAGTAAAAGAAAAGGAAGTGGATTGTATTTATATATTAAGTAAAAGAAAAAAGAAGTGGATTGTATCTTTATATTGAGTAAAAGAAAAAAGGAAGTGGAATGTATCTTTATATTGAGTAAAAGATAAAAGAAGTGGATTGTATCTTTATATTGAGTAGAAGGAAAAAGAAGTGGATTGTATCTATATATTGAGTAAAAGAAAAGGAAGTGGATTGTATCTATATATTGAGTAAAACAAAAGAAAGTGGATTGTATTCATTTATTGAGTAAAAGATAAAGGAAGTGGATTGTATCTATATATTGAGTAAAAGAAAAGGAAGTGGATTTGAGAAAAGTTGCAGCAACTGTCAAAGAACCGAAACAGTTTATAAGAAATGAAACAAAAACGTAAAAAGTTTTGACAAGTTTTGGACAAATTTCAAGTTGGTAAACAGCCGCAGTATGGAAGCATGATAATAATAATAGAAATATGGAATACATTTTATAATTATACAAAAACAAAATAAAAATATGTAATATTTACAACAAAAAATCAATAATTTCATGAAGAAAGCTGATTAAATAATAAACGTTACGTTTTAATGGACTGTAGTTATTATTTCACTTCACCCTTCATTTCAAAAAAAGCAAAAATGATAAAGATCGTTTTTCTGGAAAAGCGTTGAATTCTGAAATTCTTTAGAAGGAGGGTCAGTTGAAATTACGTTCACAACTTCTTTATTCCATAGAAAACTTATTTTATTAGAAAGCCAATATTACATGATTCCATTTATCAAATTAAATCATATATTAACTGCAGTAATAATAAATCATAACAGTTATTAACAAAACTTTAGTACATTAAAAATATATAAAACTACTGCAGCAGGAGAGCTTTAATAGCTTAGAACTATTTCACAAAGCTCTCCTGTGATCTCTAATATACAGGGTGTCCCAATAAACATGGGAATTTAGTGACGAATTCGATATCGTCTTTTTAAATAATTCTTTGATTTAGTATAGTGATACCTACTGAGAAAGCTGTAATCTGTTAGAGTTCGTCTGCTATGTTCACATTTTGTTTGTTTATGTTTTGACTGCATATGGTTGAACTTAGTAAAACAAGAAAATTACAGTATTCAAACAGAGTAAACTTGTCCGTCTTCACTGTTCATCTTGCGGAGACGTTATAGACACATCTTTACAGTCTTTTACCCTTTCCTTAAAATAAACTCTAGCAGACATTATAATATTATGGCTTTTGAAATTAGGCATTACAATGCTAATTCATAACAAAAACGATATCCAATTCGTCACTGAATTCCCATGTTTTTTGGGACACCCTGTAACAATATTTTTTTGAAGAAGGTATTTATTATTAAACAACCCTTTAAAGTACTGAATAAATCTATTAAACATTTATCGGATCTCTTTAAAACAAATTGAAAGAAAATTATAAAAACTTTTCTTTTTATTGATATCATTCTTAACATTGATGATTTCTTTCATTGTGCTATGGAAAGAATGGAAACCTCTAAAAATGGAAATGCCCCTAAAAAAGGACTCATAAAACTAATTTAATGTCGTCCTCACTCAACTTAAAATTAAAAAGACTATATTCTAATGACATTCACAGCTATGGCCGCAGCGCTCGGTCCCTGGCCTGTCCTAGCCGCAGCGCACGGACGCCTAGCCCGTCCAAGCCGCAGCGCTCGGCCACCTCCGTAGCCTGCGGCGCAACCTAACCTATCCTGAATCAATGCTATAAATAAATGAGAAAAGACGACATTAAATTAGTTTTATGAGTCCGACTTTTGAGGCATTTCCGTGGTGAGACGTTTCCTCGGTGAGGCGTTTTCATATGTTATCCATATGCTATGGAAACTCCTCGCCACGGAAACGTCTCACAACGGAAATATAATCAGGCTGAGAGAGTCACTTAATACTACGTCTGCAGTCAACATAACTATTTTCTATATGCTAGCTTTAGTTGTGTTGTGGTGTATTTTGGAGATCAAATTTGGTAAATATCATTATTGTTAATCGATTATATCACTCATGGTTAATCAGGTCTTTAAATAAAATATGTCACCTGTTTTTCTGAAGACATAGAACCCTCTAGTGTCCACTATATTGCTCTCTACAGAGAGAATAGAGTTGGGTTTTAACTTTAAAACTGTTTTTTTACTCACAGTGTAACTTTCCTAAACAGGAATTCACTTTTTATTAAAATGCAAAAAAAAAGCTTTATTCAATTTTAGAATTTGGAATTTTATGTAACTGGAAGTTAAAATGTTTTGGTTATAAAACTAAGTTTTTACGACAATTAGGATTTTACAACAATTTAAATGAAAAAAACTGCAATTTAAACAAAAACACTATTTCCTACATTGCGTTAACATCGCTAGCTCTAAATACAGGCATGAATGGCTACCCTGAGACTAGTTCTAAATACAAGGATGAATGGTTACCCTATATTCAGGGATGAATGGCTACCCTGAGACTAGTTCTAAATACATGGATGAATGGTTACCCTGAGACTAGTTCCAAATACAAAGATGAATGGTTACCCTGAGACTAGTTCTAAATACAAGGATAAATGGTTACCCTGGGACTAGTTCTAAACACAGGGATGGATATTTATCCTGAGACTAGCTCTAAATACAGGGATGAATAGTTACCCTGAGACTAGTTCTAAATACAGGGATGAATGGTTACCCTGAGACTAGTTCTAAATACAGGGATGAATGGTTACCCTGAGACTAGTTCTAAATACAAGGATGAATGGTTACCCTGAGACTAGTTCTAAATACAGGGATGATGGAGAGAGGGTTCTCCTCTGCAGATCCCAGGACCGGAACCTTGTCGGGTTTGGAATTACTTGCTCCTGAAATAAAGATTTTAAAATAATAAAAAAACAGTGTTCTATTTAAATTAACTCAGAAGGGAAAATATTTCGGAGAAGGGAATGAAATATACAATTTTAGGATGCATACATATTTTCTTATAAATATTCACTAAGATTTCAATGAGATCTTGAAATTTCCTTTAAATCAGATTAGATTTTCATTAGATTGGATTGAAATTTCTTTGAGAACGATTGAAATTTTCATTAGATTGGATTGAAATTTCTTTGAGAACGATTGAAATTTTCATTAGATCGGATTGAAATTTTCATTAAATCGGATTGAAATTTTTGTTAGATCGGATTGAAATTTTCATTAGATCGGATTGAAATTTTTGTTCGATCGGATTGAAATTTTCGTTCGATCGGATTGAAATTTTCGTTCGATCGGATTGAAATTTTCGTTCGATCGGATTGAAATATTCGTTAGATTGGATTGAAATTTTCGTTAGATCAGACAAAAATTTCATTTGGATCGGATTGAATTTTTATTAGATCGAAATTAAACTGCTAACTCGACACTCAGGAGTGGAAAAGGAAAATATGATTTCAAATATTCATTTGATATCCGAAATAATTATATAGATATTGAAAAATATTATTTGGATTCTCAAAGCTGGCTGGGGGGTTGGATAATCATCAAATAAAAAGATAATTAAATGATATAACATCTCCTCACCCATCTCCTGCCATGAAAGTGTAGACTAGGATTAGAAGGTTCCACCATATCCACCTTCAAGAACAAACTTTTATAAATATAAATATTTTTCAGTTCACAGGTTTATTTGAAATCTTCAAGAAAATATATTATTATAAGGATCGCCCTGTAATATTTGGTTTACTTAATCCAATTGATTCACCTTTAAACTTATTCAACTAGAATCCCGTCTTTAAATTCTTGATTTTTGAAACTATTTCTTTAAAATAGAGGTTCAAGATTAATCAGCCATTTTTCATTTTTAATCTGAAAAAAAAATATTTTGATAAAAAAAATGATGATTTTTAGGTTTAAGTTACCCTAGGGGATGCCCGATTTACAACGTTAAACCCTTTAAAATATCGTATGAGTAAAATTAAGTAAAATTGATAAACAACTCTTGTTCCTATATCAAAACCAGATTGTTTTCTTAAAACAACTAACATGTGTGGTTGCCACACAAGAATTGGTTGCGAAGCGTCAGTATTAATGGTCTACATGAGTACATGAAGACCAGATGCTCCCTTGAGTAATTAATAAATAAGTTGGATACGATCAATATCGACGGATATACAGATATCCTACTTGACATGCAATCATATAACTAGAAATATCAAACTTATTCTTTATATTCAGTTTCAGGGGTTTATATAATCACTGATCCTTATAAAATAGGGTTATTTTTTACAACAAAGAGAAAAACACAATTCTTTTCAACAGAATTAGAAATATAAACCTGCCATTTATTTGGATTATTTAGGATTTTTACTTCTTGTTTACAAACACAAACACTTTTCTATTTGATATTTGAAGCAAGAAAAGTTATTTTTAAAATTCAATGCACAAACTATTAGTCATGAAACACTCCACCTTGGAAATAACACATACAATAAGAATCAGATTGCTGTCACGTCGATCTAATGTAAATTCCACGTTAGATAGAAATCTTTTCTGCTTTCAATCATAATTTGTCTCTTCTCATACCTGTGCGCAAGGTACTAATGGAAGGAAAGTTAATTGCGGTTGCGTATATACTCTGCATACATAGTCAAACCATTTCTTTCTGGACGGAATTTGTAAACAAAAATAGATGCAACAGTGATCCGAGGAGGATAAAAGCATTTAATTTTGATAATTTTGAAAATTCAAATAATAATTTCCCATGACCAGAATATTTCATACATTATTTTTGTGAAAGTGGATTCCATGTCAGGCTGTGACATCCGTCTTGTGTTTACTTTTCCGCCCAAAGACAGTACACTGCAGAACAATAAATGCGTTCACCTCTGAAATAACTTTCCTTGCATTACATCCTTGCCTGTGGGTAAAATAAAAGTAGAGGAGCCACACCGAACTAACCAGAGAGAGAAGCATTTGGTTTCTTTTATTTGAAATCAAACGTGTTCTCGTCTATTACTCAACAATCTTTAAACTTACAGATTTGTTTAAATTATACTTTTTCATTCAAAATGTACATGCCAACAACAAGTTAAACAAGAAAAAGGCTATAAAATTATGTATAAGGGGTCAAATTGTGATCGAAAGTCACAGCTTTCTGAAATACTGACAGAACTGTTAACTCCACTTGGAGCTGTTAGGCCAGAAAGTTGTTCCAGGAATTAGCATTAATTTGACCTTCACCTTCTGTTTAGTTGAGTGTGCTGTGAGATAGGTAGACGGCTCTTATAGTTTAAATAGTCTAATGAATAGGAAACACAGCCATTGTGCAGTGTACAAAGAAACCCATTTCACTTAAAAGTTGATATCCGTTCTAAACAAATTCGTCGACATTTGCAATAGAAAAATGAGTCATTACATCAATAAATAAGCCACTAAACGACGCTATTTAAGTCAAAAGAATTAATTTAACCTTTGAATCATCATATTTAAATCATCGTCTTTACAGTCTCATCCTTGGTGGGTAACCCAGTATAAATGGCATGAAGCACAATCTGAAAAAAGTGTTTTTAAAGCTTTTTAGCCTACTGAATATCGTTCAACTGTGCTGAAAAGTACAATTCCCATTAATGGGGGGGTATTATAGATCTATAATATTTATTTATATTTAATTTTTCAAAATTAGACATAATATTCGAAAATGTGCTCGGTTCAATTTCCGAAGATATGAATGGCGTTTTCACCCACTAGACGTCGTTTTATTCTACTGCAATGTGTGACTGTTAGGTACAATTTGGCCAAAAATTTCGGGGTCGTCGTTAAATTATTTTACACTCAAATTCCGTTTTATCCGTCAAAATGTACTCGAAATGTACTCGGTCCTTTTTCAAAAGATTAAAAAAAATATTTGAAATCTTTTTTCGACTTTTAGTTAAAAAAAATCCTCAAATCTATCATTGAAAATGTGAAATTTATTCTATTTTGTCGTATAAAACGTAAAAAAAGTATAATTTGAATTTATTTTTAAATCTTTGAAAAGGAGACCGAGCAAATTTTCGGATATTAGGTCCACTATTGAAGGTTAAAAAGGCATTTTATAGAAAAATGTTTCATCCACATCCCCCCCCCCCACATTTAATGGTATTGTACCTAACACATAAGCACTTTTCAGCACATTTGAACTATATTAAGTGGACTAAAAAAAAGACACCCTGTACATTTTGGTATTAAACTTAATTTGATTAGAGATCAAAAAAAATCCTGAAGCTGTTTTCTCTCAAAATCAGGAAGATGCAGAGAAAATGGAAAGATTATGATTTCACTGATATTTTAAATTTTCTTTTGATCTGATCGAAATTTTCTACATTATGTTAAAATTTCCTTTAGATCGGTTGAAATTCTCATTAGATCGGATTGAAATTCTCATTAGATCGGTTGAAATTCTCATTAGATCGGGTTGAAATTTGTATAAGACCAAATGAAAATTTCATTAGATCGGGTTAAAATTTGTATAAGACCAAATGAAAATTTCATTAGATCGGGTTAAAATTTGTATAAGACCAAATGAAAATTTCATTAGATCGGGTTAAAATTTTCTGTAGATCAAATGAAATTTTCATTAGATCGGATTTTCTTTAGTTGGTATTCTTGGAGAAATATAAAGAAATGATGTTATGCAAATTATATACAGGCTTAACTGCAATGGATGAGATTTTACTGACCTGGAACTCATTAAATTTTAGCTTCGCGGTTTTCAATATAGGTTTTTAGGAAATTAAACTATTTAACCAAAAATAAGTAAAAAGATGCAGGGAACCAAGGATGTAATGCAAGGAAATTTAATTTCAGTTACGTATACTCTGCGTACATATTGAAACCAGTTCTTTCTGGGCGGGATTTGTAAACAAGAATAGATGCGCGCATCAGTGTTTGTTTAGTATCCGAGGAGGTTAAAAGCATTAAATTTTGATAATTCACATAAAAGTTTCCAATGACTAGAATAGTTCATTGATTTTTTTATTTGGAAGATGGATCCCATGTCAGGCTTCGACATCCGTCTTGTGTTTACATTACCGCTCAGAGACAGTACACTGCAGTACAAAAGATGTGTACACTTCTGAAATAACTTTCCTTGCATTACATCCTTGCAGGGAACCATAGATATAAAGTAAATTCTGCAAATAAGTCCTATTCAGGCTATAAACACAGGGAGAACACAAGTCATTGAAAAATGGAATAACTTCTTCAGTATTAAAGAGATAGTGTGAAATATCCGAACCCGATCCGCTACAACTGCACCCTTTAAAACTTTGTCTGATCAAGGATGACAGAGCTTTCCCTATTCTTATCGCTGAAAATTGAGTACTAGGAGACCAATATAAAATCTTTGCGCGTAGTCGATCGTATGATGAAATTACTTATTTTCTTATTTTACTGAAGAAAAAAAACCTAACACTGAATTTTCAACGAAAAAAATATGTGGACATGTCTCTCATTGTTAGTGGTTTATTGGGTAGAGGTAAGGGTCAGGTAAAATTTTAATTTTAGGAAAGTCTCGTGGTATAAATTAAAAGAAAAGTTTAATGAAAGGAAATCGATGACAAGGGAAAATTAGGAAATTAATGAATAGTTGGGGCAGAGTTAGGGGGGGGGAAGGGGGGAGGTGATGGCTGCCCACAAAAGATGAGACTTCAGAGACGACTTTACTAAAAAAAAGTGTTTGTTTTTTATATTCATGGTTCGATGCAGCTAAAATTATTTCTTTCTTTGTCAAATCAATAAACAAGCCACTAAACGACGCTATTTAAGTCAAAAGACTTAATTTAGCCCTTGAATCATCATATTTAAAGATTTTCAGGTCGTCTTTACAGTCTCATCCTTGGTGGGTAACCCTGTATACAGGGCATTAAGCACAATCTGAAGAAAGTGTTTAAGGGGGGGTAGATAGGATAAGGAGGATAAAAATTTAATGACGATCGAATTTTGATAGAAACAAATATTTGAAATTTTGATTTTTCATAAACCTTCCCTGGGGTCCCTAGATGTCCCACAAAAAATTTGGGCCTGATCGGTTCAGCCGTTTGGACGTTTATTGGATACAAACAAACAAAGAGACATAAAAACAGACAAACAAGCCAAATTTATATATAGATAAATATTAATACTAAATCTTTTACGCTATTTTTGATGGATTTTAGATAAGAGATCAGAATACATTCTGATACAGACAGGACATACTTTGTTGTAGTTAGTTTTACGTGGTGCGACAATTTAATGTGCAACCTCAAGAATGACACAAAATAAAAAAATTAAAAAATGTATCCATACCTTAACTATGGGTTCAGTCGGGAAATAACAATTTCTGGTAATATTTTAATGAGCTTTAATAAGTAATTTCAATACTATATGATACAATACGTCACTCTAGTTTCAATAGAAGTAAATATTTCCATTTACTGATAGCGCCGATTGAAGGATTTATAACTCTAATTGGATGATGAGATAGATAGAAAGATAAATGTTACCGCAAAACTATTTCTATTGGTTTAAAATAGACAACAATCACATAACTGAGCCCTGATTGGATGAGGCGCTGATGAGCTCTGTATACAGAAGTGATACTACGATTTTTGCCTATATACTACATAGCCTTTGTAATCAAAATCCATAAAAGTAAATTTGCTGTTTTGTTTTCACATTTTCTTGGATATACATGTTAGATTTGGTTCTCAATGTGAATTAACCAATATTTAGTTAAGTAAAAACATGATCAGATGTTTTAAGTAGTTTGTGATGTATGTACTTGTTGTATTTACATTGCATGTTTATTTACACTGTACATTATGTTATATTACGATGTAATTGTTGAGGATCAATGTCCTGTAAGGAATGAGACAAATGTTGAGATATTGTATATATATATATATATATTTGTATTTATCTATCTTTATCATATTGATAATATGTATTATTCTTATCTGATAAGCAAAACACAGATTACCAACATATACATACCAGATATAAATAGTGTTACATAGATATATTAAACAAAAAGAAGAGTTCTTTGTATTCTTTACAGCGCTTTAAAAAAGATAGAATATAAGCATTATACGAACTTTAACCGCGACTGTACTTAGACCTAGTACCAGATCCAGAATAAGTTTTTAACCGTGCTTAACAGACCTATTTTCCACAAAATATAGAAGTATTTGTTTACACAGCCAGGTTAGATAATTATAACTTTAGCAGCTTAAATTTCAAATTATTTGTTTGTATAAACAGACGCTATAAATTGTGATTTTAGAGCTTTATGATTACTTTCAAAGACAGTCAGGAGAAATTTTTGTTCTTGCAAAGGAATCTAGTCTTTCTATGCCACAGCCTCTTATTTTGAATTCAATAATCTATGTTTGAATTGTAAGGACAGTAAGAGTAAATTTAAGTGACCCTTCATTTTCAGATGGCATTGCTGAATTCACAACTGTACCCTTTTAAGTATATATATTATATATATCAATTTTTTAAATTTTAAATTGTGGTTTTTCTTCAAAAGTGATTTGCTTATTTCTACTGCAGGAAACGTATTGGATTTATCAGAATTAAACCCTTTGAACTTTCTATTTCTGTGCTCACTATTGTATAAAGGTCATCAACTGCAACAACTTTTAATCCATGTTTAGCCATCCATGATATTACTAAATATTTGGAGATTTTTCATAATTTTCGATATTTCGGAGTTCGGCTCAGTTTTAGGTTTTGGTTTTATTCGTTCTTTTTTAATCTTTTTTCAGATTTAGCAGTGAATGTAAACACAGATTGTATTGTAATAGTTTTTGTTTTATTATGAAAATATTTGTAAATAATAATTAAACTTTATGATCATCGTCACATTTGCAAAGTTTCAGGCTGTCAATAAAATCTCATAGTTGGTGAGCAAACCCGACTGTACATGAATTATATTTTGAAGATAATTCCAGTAGTGCATATAATCAGCTGGTTTGAAAAAAAAGACATTTTCCCAATCGGCAACTTCCCAAGTTTGTTCTAGCCGTAGTGCTCGACTCCTAGCCTTTTCTAACCGCAGCGCTCAGCCCCCCATTGCAGCATGCGGCGCCTCAGAAGGCCTAACATAACATTAAAAATAAAATTGGGAAATTGCCGCTTGGGAAATTGTTACTTGAAAAGTCGCCCTTGGGAAAAGAAGGCCTTTGGGAAAGTCCTTTACAATATAAGATGAAAAACCCTTGAAAATCTTTGTAAATTGAGTAAACCTGGAGCAGATCTATAAATATTATAGATCTATAATATTTATTTATATTTAATATAGATCTATAAATAGAACCAAAGTTTGTAATATGATTTTCAAAGTTTCCAACAATTGTAAATACAATATTATTTTAGAGATTTTATCAAAATATATGGAGTTTCGTACCACAACAATTGTATATTTAATATTTCTTTTTTTAAGGAGCAAAGCATAACTTTGCTGTATTATAGGATTTGCTTTCAAAGAATATTACTTTTTGCATTTGCACATTTTTAGTTTAGCAGATTTTATCCAGTACACACAACATTACTCACAACATTACTCACAACATTACTCACAACATTACTCACAACATATACTGCAAACTGCAAACCATTAAAACTCATTTTCAGATTTAAAGAATCACTAATTTTCTTTTTTTTCTATATTTTTGCAACCTGGGAGAGAAGTAATTTAACTACCTAGATTAAGTTTATCCACTGCTCTTGAACTTGAACCGGCATGCAGAGGAAACTGATTTGACCTATTCTACTCAGTTCAACTAGTTCATTACAGGAATTGTGTAAAAAATAACATGTCCCTGACGACTGTTATAGGGTATTCTAGGATGAAATTAATTTAGAATAATAATTTGAGTAATGTTACTTGGAACATTTAACTACAGCTAAGTTTTGTTTTTACAAACTTTGTTCTATAGTATATTTTTGTGTGGCCCGCAGAATTGTTTGTATCTCTTTAGGATTTAACAATATCCTTTACAAATCTGGTTCTTAATGTACACTGTAAGCTCATTACAAGTACAGGGTTGACTGTTAGGCAGCTAGAGCAAGCCGTACGGTACACATACAGACTAAATTAGGCAAAACGGGATAGTACTCCAAATGAATGAACCGATTCAGGAAGATTCTGGACAAGTATTTCGGCATGAAAAAAATGGTCTTAGACTGAAAAAAATGAGCTAGCATTAGGAAATCAGGCAACTCAACGAAGCACTCTAATTATGGTTTTGACAATTTTCTAAAATCTCAAAATAAGAAAAGATATGTTCAAGTGAATATTACTTTTATCGAAAAGAATATAGTTATATATTTTGTAATGATTGTTATGAATATCTACAAGACTAGTTCTAATAAAAAGCAGACGACCAAAATCAATTATTCTTCGTCTAATTACTCAAGTTTGGAGGTTGGATCTAGGTTCAATGATCCTCACGGATCAGAGATTGAATCCGAACTAGTCCTATCCCAGCCTCCGGAGCAGGGGGGGTTGCGGAGAAATGTTTTAAACCGTCGTCCGATACCAGAATACACCATAAAAATATAGGATGTAGATAGAGGATACAGGATACAGGATATAGGACACAGGATACAGGATACAGGATACAGGATACAGGATACAGGATACAGGATAAAGGATACAGGATACAGGATACAGGATACAGGATACAGAATACAGAATACAGAATACAGAATGCAGAATGCAGGATACATAATAAAAGATTCAGGATAATGGATACAGGATACAGAACAAGGTATACAGGATAATGGATACAGGATACAGAACAAGGTATACAGGATAATGGATACAGGATACAGAACAAGGTATACAGGATAATGGATACAGGATACAGAACAAGGTATACAGGATACAGGAGACAGGATACATGATATGGGATACAGGATACAGAACAAGGTATACAGGATATGGGATACAGAACCAAAGTTATATAACTTCAATATTGATTGTTTAATTAAATACTTAATTTAAAAATTATCTTTATACTCAAACATCATATGCTTCACTAGTTTATTCATTAAATTGTTTTATTGTTTTAAATTTTATTTCAGTTTTGTTCCAGTGAATGCACGAATATTTTTTAATTCAAAATAGTAACTTAACGATTTGGTTGAAAATCTTGTATAATTATTTTTGATTAAAGCCAGACCATCTGGACTCATCCGGACTAGCCGGAATATCAGGATTAGCCGGAATGTCAAGATTTGCCGTATTATTGGGATTAGCCGGATTATCAGGATTAGTTAGAATATCAGGATTAGTTAGAATATCAGGATTAGCAAGTATATCAGGACTGACCAGAATATCTGATATAACCAGAATATCTGGACTAACCAGAATATCTGGACTAACCAGAATATCTGGACTAACCAGAATATCTGGACTAACCAGAATATCTGATCTAACCAGAATATCAGGACTAACCAGAATATCAGGACTAACCAGAATATCTGATCTAACCAGAATATCTGGACTAACCAGAATATCAGGACTAACCAGAATATCAGGATATAACCAGAATATCAGGACTAACCAGAATATCTGATCTAACCAGAATATCTGGACTAACCAGAATATCAGGACTAACCAGAATATCAGGACTAACAAGAATATCTGGACTAATCAGAATATCAGGACTAACCAGAATATCTGGACTAACCAGAATATCAGGATATAACCAGAATATCAGGATATAACCAAAATATCTGGACTAACCAGAATATCTGATCTAACCAGAATATCTGGACTAACCAGAATATCAGGACTAACTTGAATATCTGGATATAACCAGAATATCTGAACTAACCCTGCATAATATCCGGACTAACCAGAAATTCTGGATTAACAAGAATATCTTGAATATAAATAATATTTTATAAAACCTGAAAATCTAGTTTCAACTAATTTTTACAAATTTTATTATATAAATAGCCAGAAATAAGAACATTTCACAAACATTTTAGCACTAATTTACATAATCCAACTGGTGTGTTACAGAAAATATGGGGTTTTATTAATACTGAAAGGTGTACGTCTGTAAACCAGTTTTTATGGTAATGTGGTTTACAATCTTTGTATAAAAATTAAAGAAAAAATTTACATTTAAAAAAATAGCAGTAAGACAGCTAGGCATGTGTTCCTAAATTTAGATAAATGATAAATTGTAATTTTAGATTACTGAACAATTCCTTAAAAATTAAAACTACAACAGTAGTCATGGAACATTAAAAAAGTTTAGAAAAGTAGAATGAACTGTCAGAAAAATAAAAATGATGTAAAATAATGAACCAACATGCTCCACAATTGAGTTGTATATGGATGCATATATTTTGTATACTGGGGTGATTTAAACAAATAAAACTGAGGTTCAATGAGAAAATGGATAAAAATGGTTTGACCCATAATTCGTCAGGTTGGTTCCATTATTGAAATATTTTTTTATACAAATTGTGCGGCAAGAGTGTGTTTACAATAATAGATAATATTTTACTAGTTTGTCTGCAAGATAAAGGCAAGTGTACTGCAGATTGTTTATTTACATTAATGCCCAGGCAACAGTACATGAAAGGCTGTTTAATCTACAATGCCTCGTATTTGGAACTGGAATTAAAAATGGAATTCAAATTGGAACTGGAAATGGGATTGGGATAGGAACTGAAACTTAAAATGGAACTGGAACTAGAAATAAAACAGGAACCAAAATTGAAACTGGAACGAGACATTACAGGGTGAACTTGGGCTAGTTTTTAGAATACTTATATTAGGAGAAAACTGGAACTGAGCTAGAGCTTGAACTAACGCAATAGCTACCTAGAGCGAGAACTAGAGCTCGAGCTCGAGCTAGAACCGGAGCTAGAGCTCAAGCTAGAACCTAAGCTAGAGCTCAAGCTAGAACTAGAAATAGAGCTCAAACTAGAAAAAGAGATAGTGCTGAAAGCAGACCTAGAGCTTAAAATAGAGCTAGAGCTAGAGAAATAGCGTTACCAAAAACTAAAGCCAGAGAAATAGCTAGAACTCTGATTGAGCCTGAAACCGGAAAACATGCTAGGGCTGGAAACTTCAAGCTAGATTAAATGACAATCAAGAATGAGATATTCAAGAACTGAAAAAGGTTTGATAGATCCACCAATACTTCCTTCTATCCTGAGCTGGCGCGGTAAGCATCAATCCGTTGCATGATTCCATACAATCCGTCTCCTATTCAAACTTAATTCTACACCCTTGTGCTCCAGTTGCAATATTGCCAGGACTCCTTCATCAGGGGATAGAGATAGATATCTCTAGATAGCGTTCAGAATACAGGATGAGATATCTTAGGTTAGGATTCAGAATTCAAGATAGAGATATCTCAGGATAGGGTTCAGTATACAAGATAGAGATATCTCAGGATACGATTCAGAATACAGGATAGAGATATCTCAGGATAGGGTTCGGTATACAGGATAGAGATATCTCAGGATAGGGTTCAGTTTACAGGATAAAGATATCTCAGGATAGGATTCAGTATACAGGATAAAGATATCTCAGGATAGGATTCAGTATACAGGATAAAGATATGTCAGGATAGGGTTCAGAATACAGGATAGAGATATCTCAGGATAGGGTTCAGAATACAGGATAGAGATATCTCAGGATAGGGTTCAGAATACAGGATAGAGATATCTCAGGATAGGGTTCAGTATACAGGATAAAGATATCTCAGGATAGGATTCAGTATACAGGATAAAGATATCTCAGGATAGGATTCAGTATACAGGATAGAGATATCTCAGGACAAGGTCCAGTATTCAAGATTAAGATATCTCAGGATAGGGTTCAGAATACCTTCTTCCATAGAGCCGTATATTCAACTATATCCGGAGATAGATTGATAAAGATCTCCGGTAAACTCACATATCTTTTAACCCTGGGGGATGGAATTTCCGGTTTCTTGTTTCTGGGTTTCAGAACAACACATGATGTTTTCATTCAGTGTTATTATTTTTTATCATTTTTCAGAATATAACATTATTTTTATTTCTTTAGCGCCCTTTTTGGTGTGATAGGTTTCATGGTTTTAGGTTTGAATTGCTTCAGATCTTTTGGCTTTATTCTCTCCAGTTCACTTAAGCATCATTATCTCAGTTCCAAATAAAAAGATAATCAATTTTCGGTCTAAACACTGAGTTCACTTATTCACTAATTCATAATGGCTTGGTTCAAAATCACTGAACCTTTGGTTTCTCCAAGAAAGATATTTTTTATTCTTGTCTTTTTCTTCATGCATTCACACCTCAGTTTCTACTTTCCTCCATGCTTCCATGGAGTGTAGGAACCGCATAGGATTAAAGAGTCCAACTGTAGGTGTTCCCCGTCCTTTCTTCTTCTCATCTTCTAGAGAGGAATTCAGGAAATGAAGCTCATCCACATAATTCCTAGATAGATAGATAGATAGAGAGTTAGACAGATAGATAGATAGATAGATAGATAGATAGATGGATAGATAGATAGATAGATAGATAGATAGATAGATAGATAGATAGATAGATAGATAGATAGATAGATAGATAGATAGATATATAGATGGATAGATAGATAGATAGCTTAATGGATCCCTAATTCTAAGGATTGCTAGGATGCATAAATACACTTGATGAATAGGCTGAAGTACAAATAAAAGGTCAAATACACGTATTGATAGGTAGACAGAGGGATAGATGGATAGATACACGTATTAATGGATAGACAGACGGTGAGATGGATAGATACACGTATTAATGGATAGACAGAGGGATAGATGGATAGATACACGTATTGATGGATAGACAGACGGATAGATGGATACACGAATAGATAGATAGACAGACGGATAGATGGATAGATACACGTATTAATGGATAGACAGACGGATAGATGGATAGATATTGTATAGGTTTATATATGTAGATAAGATGATAGATTAATAGATGGATAAATACGTTATAGGTTTATATATGTAGATAAGATGATAGATTAATAGATGGATAGATACATTATAGGTTTATATATGTAGATAAGATGATAAATAGATAGATGGATAGATACATTATAGGATTTTATATGTAAGGATAAGATGATAGATAGATAGATGGATAGATACATTATATATATTATAGGTTTTTATAGATGGTTTGATACAATATAGGTTTCTATATATGTATAGATTGATTGATAGATAGAAAGTTATATATATATATAGATATGTAGATAGAAAGAAAGTTATATATACAGATATGTAGATAGATATCTAAGTAGATGATTAATGAATGTCTAATGTCTTAATATAAATAGAGAGAGGTTCGGTAAAAAATGAATTAATAGAAACTTGATTATAGATAGATTTGAAGTAATATGGACAGATACAAAGATAAATTTATAAATAGATAATTTTGCACAGAATTGACCTTTAGATACTTTCTTATTGATTTTATATAAAATATTTGAAATATTTGAATTATAAACATATAAATATTTATATGTATTGATTGATTGATATTTTAAGATAATCATCCTTTATTTGGTCTTTTAAAGGGATTGTTGGCCTAATTTGCAACTGGAAAAATTAAGATATCTCAATCAATCTTGATCTGACCTAGGTTTAATAGTTACCGTTGTGAGGAATACAATCTATACCTAAATGTAACTGGACGCTCTATCAAACATAAAAGGAGGGTTACAATCTATACCTAAATGTAACTGGACGCTCTATCAGACATAAAAGGAGGGTTACAATCTATACCTAAATGTAACTGGACGCTCTATCAGACATAAAAGGAGGGTCACTATCTATACCTAAATGTAACTGGACGCTCTATCAGACATAAAAGGAGGGTTACAATCTATACCTAAATGTAACTGGACGCTCTATCACACTAAAATCTTGTTTCTCGATGAACACGTTCAATTCGCATATCACAGTCAGAGTATCCTAAAAAATGTTTTCAATTAAACACACAAAAAGTCAATTTTTTCTCTTTAAATCATCCTTTTCGCATTGTTTTTAGTTAAACACATATAAAACCTAATTTTTCTCTTTTCATTACCCTTTTCGCATTTTTTTCAATTAGACACATTTTTTCGCAGGGTGTAATAAAATATCTAATTGACCTCCACACCTCCCTCTCTTAGTCTCCTTATATTATTTTCATAAAAGGGTTGAAAAGATCAAGGAATGACTACTCTCTGTAGAAATATATAGAAGGATACCTGATTAAGAAGTCCGTAGGTTTCGTCGAAAAGGTCCTTTCTTGAAACAAATTTCGGAGCTCCCAAACTCTGAAGAATAATAAAAGTAAGTTTTAAAAAGATATCTATATAAAACCTTTAGTATTACATATTTGCTTGACATTATTTTGTTTAGGTTTAAAAACAAAAGAATGATTTAATCATAAAAAAGAAAATTTAGATAATTTCTTAAATACTGAAAGATCTAACTTCCCATTCTAATTCAAATTTAATATTAAAGGAAACACTTATTATCAGCTATTCTACATATTTTAAGTTTTTAAAAACATTTTTGCGTTCTTCTCTGTCTTACTACTAACAAAGATTTGATTTAAAATCTTTCTCAGAATAAATATTGTCATTTTAAAGATGTTTCCACTGTGCAAATTACACACTTTAAAGAAAAGCTCCCCTTTTTATTTTCTAAAGGGGGTGAGCCTTCCCTCTCCTATGTCTTATTGGGAAGTCTTGGTATTTACGCCCCCCCCCCCTTATTAACGCCTCTAAGAATAACCAATTTAAAACTGTGACAATCTTGTCCTATCTGTATAATTTATGTTTGTATGGTTCTTAGATTGAATTTATTATTTTGCATAGCTAGGGTTAATTTTTAGAGTAGGGAGGGGTGGGGGGGGACAGACATGATTCAACAACTTTGCCAGGAAGATGAGGGGTGATTTTAGGGCTGGAAGTGAGGAAGGAATTAACCGTATAATTCGCAAATAATTTTGGCAGATGAGATGCATGATATTTGCATGCAACTTTTATTAATGGAAGACACGATGAAGGTTTGGCGTGGGAGGGTATTCAAGCCAAGAAGGAAATATGCGTAAATTAACCGTATACGGGAAAATTTTACAAAATGGTGGAAAATTACTTTTTAAAAAAATGGCGGGAACTTTATTTTTTAAATTTTCAAAATGGCTACCTTAGAATTGCCCGGAGCATGCCCAAACATCTTCCGTTCGTTGACATCTACGACGAAAGCCTTCTCCTGGTATGAGTTTAGGATAGCAAAGGTGAAGGTTGCAGGTACAGGAGTCAACTGCTTGTCCCACCTCGGATAAATCAAGAATGAGAAAGGAAAGATTTATTCTCGGGAAGGAAAAATATCTTTAAAGACAATTTTATTTGAAAAGACGAAATTTAAAAAAAATTCTTGAGTGCTGCTTTTATTCTTTTTTAGAAAAACTCGAATAATAAAACTACATCAGTCGACAATGCATTTCAAATCAAGTCCATTTGTATTATGTATCTAAATAAAGTAAGGTCCTGGTAGTCAGAACATTTCTGTTTTAAATCTCCGGATTAAGAAATAAACTCCATCTTATGTAGATCTACGGATTAATCTTATTTTCTTAAATATCCCGGTTGTTACGCTACATGGATGACTTTACTTAGGAATCAAGCATTCATACTCAAATTTAAAAGAACCAACATCGGATATCGAGATTAGGTATTTAAGATTTAAGATGCATAACACAAATGTTACTAAAGTTTGTAATATAATCTACGAATATGAAAAACGTGAAAAACTATAAATTGTTAAAGTTTGCGCACCTGTAGAGATACAAGGATACAAACCCCTCTCTATCCTCCTGGTTCCCGTTAGGATAGAGCAACAAACACCAGCGAGTAGGATTCTCCAAACCTACATCTATACTCGCCTAGACAACAATCCTGTATACTATACAGTGTATAGTATACAATGTATACTATACACTGTATACTATACACTGTATACTATATAGTGTATAGTATACACTGTATAGTAAACACTGTATACTATACACTGTATACTATACAGTGTATAGTATACACTGTATAGTATACACTGTATACTATACACTGTATAGTATACAGTGTATAGTATACACTGTATACTATACAGTGTATACTATACAGTGTATACTATACACTGTATAGTATACACTGTATAGTATACAGTGTATACTATACAGTGTATAGTATACACTGTATAGTATACACTGTATAGTATACAGTGTTTACTATACAGTGTATAGTCCCTTAAATAGTCTACTTGGAATCTTACTTGATTATATATTATTATGCTTTATTATATATGCTTGATTATATATGACGAACTAAAATAAATAAGAGAGTGTTGGAAGAACCATATTTAAATCATAAATAGATTTTCACGATAATTTCCGATAAATCTTTAAAGAGAATTGAATTAACTCCGTCCTTTGAAACAATAACAATAAGAAATTCTACTTTCGAGACTAAATTCTCTTTTCAGTCGAATAGAAACAAAGCTAATTTAAAACTACTTCCATTTTTCCTTTTAGGGAATTGAGTCTTTGCAAAAAACTCAAATTTTCTAATTCTATATCTTTGCAACCTGATGGTGTAAACCTCTGATGTTTCAAACTTAGATTAGATGATCTAACAGATTACATAGATTGCAATATCTAAGGTCTACAACATCGGGGTTGCAAAGATATATGGATTAGAAAATCTAAGTTTGTTAAAAAAAATTTAAATAAGTTTTTTACAAACCTTTGTAGATTTAATAACTAGTTTGTTCCCAGCTCGTTCACTAAACTGTTCAATCTTCATGATAAACTTGTGTTCTCTAAACCACAATAGTCATCAATTGATAGAATAAAACTTTTTGTTGATTTATAGGTAAACTCTTTCAAGTAATTAGGATGAAAGCTAACATATCTTGAAAACCTGACGCACCATCAGGGTTTTCTATCATTTTATATAACAAATCAACCTTTGATATTTCGAAGTTTGGCTTTGAGATCATAACAAATGAAACAGCAAAGGTCTAAACATATCAGGTTGCTAGGATGTAAGGATTAAAAAAATTTCGGTTTGGTAGGAGAGATCATTTTCTTTATGGAGGAAATGGCGGATTAAAAGAATTGAGTCTTTGCCACAAATTCAAACTTAACTTTTGGAAGAAGAGACATAATAAAAATAAACAGCATTAAAAAGATGTCGAGAAAAATTATTTAAATGAAAAAAGATCCCTTACAAGTTACAAAAGATGATGTGTCAAAGCAATAAATAACGGGCAGGAATGTCGGATTTAAGCTGCAAAGTAATGAATCCTGGATGAGATGTAGAATTAATACCATAGAGAATAGAATAGATAGAGAGGAATTAAAAGAATCTCTCGGTATGAATTTTTTCAGTCCCTTTCAGTCTGAAAGGGAGTTCAAAGTGTACAAATCATGTAAATGTTCACAAATTATATGCAGTAGAGTACATTAATACAGTATGTTCCCTAGACTATCCATTTCAATTTCGAATTTTTTAAACTGTTAAATAAACTTTATAATGAATTAGGTGAATAAAAACATCATTTGATTTAAAGTTATAACGGAAAATCATCGTTTGTAAAGTGGAAGGCATAGAGTCTATGTGAAATGATCATTGGTCAATTATGAAACCAGCCTATTTCATAATTTCGGTTTCTTTTAACAATAATTTTAGATTTTCTATAAAATGATATTCCAGGGCCCAACAGGTTATATAGCATAAATATGTGAAGTACACCTGCAGTATGGAAACAGTACAACAAAATGGCCGTTTTACACTTTTTTCCAGTAAATTCCTCTCTATATATTCTATTCTCTATGATTAATACTGAATAGATCTATCATGGCTAATACAAATGATAATCCAGAGCTGGGATCTTTTAAACGAACAGATTTTGTTGAACTTAATGTCTCCTCGCCGGAATATTAACTGATTTTTCGTTCTAAATTTAACTTATCTGTTAGCTTAAAAGTTCCCAGAGTCTAAAACATTTTATTCAAAAATACTCCTCTAATTTAATTCTTTTTCTCAGACTATAGTATTCAATTTTAAACAATTGGTTAGGTTATGTTATATTCTTGTTTAAACACGCTGAAAAGGGAAATATAGAAATACAGAACAGAAAATATTAAAAATCGGGAAATATAAGATACAAAGCTAAATGAGAGAAAATTGTTGTTGCCTGAAATTTAATGGATGAGATATGAGAGGGTTGGTAGAAACAGCTCCAGCAGCAGCCAATGCAATCCTAAACAATTCGCCATTTTGATTTTGATTTTTCCCGCCAATTCAAATTTTTAATTCATGATTTTCAGCCGCCATTTTAAAATTTTAAATTGGTTTCTTATGATTTCATTTCTATGATACATGTGATTCATGTGATACCCTCAAAATATATTTTTGGAGCTTTTTTCATTGTTTTAATAATAAGTTAATTAATAAGGATCACGAATGACTGAGATGGAGAAAAAGACGATTCTAATATTATGAATGTATTCCCATGTTTATTGGAACTAAGAACCTATTATATATATGATATACACAGTGTACCGTTAATCCAGGGGAAATGCATTTTAACTAAATATTATGAGAAGCATAACACAGATCTCAGCAGACCTTTACCCTTTAGCAGTTGGCAGGGGTAAATAGTAAATATACATCATCAGGAGGGGATAGGACTGGTCACATGATGGTGAATATTAAAGATACAACATCAGGACAGGATAGGACAGGTCACATGATGGTGAATATTAAAGATACATCATCAGGACAGGATAGGACAGGTCACATGATGGTGAATATTAAAGATACAACATCAGGACAGGATAGGACAGGTCACATGATGATGAATATTATAGATACATCAGGACAGGATAGTTAGGTCACATGATGGTGAATATTAAAGATAAAACATCAGGACAGGATAGGACAGGTTTCATGATGTTTGTATAACAAAGTTAATACTTGATAAAAAAAAATAGGTATTGGAAGAAAAAAACTGGAGAATTTAATAGGAATGGTTACCTTGTGGTTCGTTGAGGGAAGTCCGAGAAACTACAAATATCTTCATTTCCAAATGATAGAACGGAGAGACTGCTCTCAGTATGCTCCAGTGTTTTAACCATCCTAGAGCAAACCCTTCTCCTGACCCGTCCTTTACAGTTCTGATCCTATTGCCGTCCCGGTCCGTCCGTCTCAGAGTTGTACACTGTACAGTTTTTACAAATGTACGTTACACAAGGAATGTTTTATCAGTAAAACCTGCACTTTACGATCTTTTGTTGTATTCCTTTATTTTGTTACGTTGTTTACACTTTTCTCCTTTTTTTCCCTTCTCATTTGTCACTTGTCACCTCTTTAGAGGTTTTCATGATGTAAGAAATATCACCTAGAAATAGAAAATATTAAGTCAAGGAAGCCATGTTTGTTTTGGAACAAATTTGGAAATGTATCAAATGCTCAGTAAAAACAAAGATCCAGATTTTATTTGGGGTAAAATCAATTAAATAACAGTTTACAAATGAAAATTAAAATTGATGTCAAAAAAAATGTTTTTATAATCAAAAGTCTCTAAATTCTGAATAAATGTGAACGTCGAAATGTAAAACATAAAAATAAACGTATAATCCACGTTTTTTGGAAAAAATACTCGAAACTTAAAAAGACCTGTGTTACGTTCAAATAAAAAGTTTAAAATGTTCGAAACAAATCATATTATCATGGCACTGAGTTTTGTCGTTATATCTCCAGCTTTCTAGAACATTCAGAAAAATTTAAAATTTAGATATTTTATTTCACGGACGCTTAACTAAAATTCCTTATTGATGAGTAATTCTAGCTCTGTACCTCCTGTACTTAAAAACTTATTTAACTCCGTATATCCTAGTTAGACCAATATCCCTGACATTTTTCCTTCTCCGTATCTTAAATATATTCGCCGCGGCAGAAAAATATATTTTTCGTCCTTGCTCAGTTCACGCACGGTTCTACTCATATCTCAATTACATTCTTCAACTCCTTCAATTATTCTTCTCCTTCTCTTCTCCTTTTCTTCTCCTTCTCTTCTCTTTCTCTTCTCCTTCTCTTCTCCTTCTCTTCTCCTTCTCTTCTCCTTTTTTGCATTTCGATAAAACTGATCGAATTATTTTTCAAAATTTGGAAACTTGATGATTTTTAGTAAAGTACTGTATTTTATACCTTGGTAGAATTATCTTTGGTTGATAATGGAGTTGATCACCCGTCCTTTCCGTCCTACTGCCCCCAGCCATAGTCTCTTATCTGAAATAGTTAAAACATTTTAGTCTCAGGCTATAATTCATCCTATCTACTTCAAGTAGATAAAAGAAAAATATTGATTTTCAGCATTTTTTTGAGTTTAACCTTACATACATCATATTAATTTGACACAGGCAAAAATTTGCCTTCCCCAAGCTTCATTTAATTTAAGTCTTGTAATAACCCTTAACATAGCCATATGTGCAAATTGTTGTTTTTTCTATACCAATTCTTTTTAAAGAAAAAAACAAAATGATAAGATTAATATGATTTATGAATATTATTGACAGAATGGTTTGTATAATAACTTTTGATATCGATGCATGAAAACGGAGCGCATTTGTCATCAATTGTAATTTAAGCTTTTAATATCTAATCTATGTATGCTAGCACTTTTATTTTGATTTTGATTACCCCCCTTTTTCGACTTCCCTCTGGGCTGATATAAAACCACCAAGGGTGTTTTCCGTTTAGATTTGCAGGATGAAGACTGAAGACTGGAGATAATGATTTTGTCGTAGAACCGTCCTTGATCCTCTTTACTCCGGTATAGACGTTTAGCACTGAGAACTGTATCCTGCAGGGAGTCCTAGAAAACATGGTATTTCCATGATTTGGTTTCCGTTTTTTTGTAACCATAAAAATGATAACCAAACTTTGTGCGAAATTGTGGAAATTTCTAACTACGACTGTGACATTTTTAAGGTTTTTGAAATTTTAAACTACACGATTTATTGAAGATTTTATATTTGCCATTGATTTTTTGGGACACCCTGTATAAAGTATATAGTTTTATAGGAAACAGGGATCTTGTAAGTTTTAACTTATAGCTTTAAAAATCCTTTAACATGCCGATACATAGTCATTAGTCAATCTATATACAGTATACAGTATACAGTATATAGTATACAGTATACAGTATACAGTATACAGTAAACAGTATACAGTATACAGTATACAGTATACAGTATACAGTATACAGTATACAGTATACATATTTATATATATATGAGGTTCCTCCATAAAATTTGCAGTAATCGTAATTAATTATTGGCATCATTAAACTCATTTAGTTTTAATTATCCGTCATTTAAAGAGAGTGTTCGCGTAAGCATAACAGGGAGTGTAATACAATCAATCATAGGTAAATAATTTTTGGCGTCTCTGAATGGCGATTCATATCAAAATCTTGTTTATACAGAAACCTGGAATAGAATTTTATCTAGGTAAAGCCTACTAGAGGGGAGGAAGGCCAGCCACAACAATTTCTCGTCCGAGCGACATTCTCCTCATTTTCTCGTCCGAGCCACCTCGAAATCCTCGGACGAGAAAATGAGAAGAATGTGGCTCGGACTAGAAATTGTTGTGGTTGGCCTTCCTCCCCTCCCTACACTGCTTTTGCATTTTTATCAAACACTCCCTTTAAAGGTTTTACAAGTTTTGTTGACGAAATTAGAATTTTGGAAAGGAAACAGAAATACATTAAACGTAGTAAAGGTTATGACGCAAAACAGTTCTGACATTTATGGTGAATAATAAAACAATATTCCAACACGCTATCCCTCCTAAACACCCTTCGAATCCCCCTCCTCTTCCTCCTGAATCCCTCCCCCCTTGATCCTATGACCTCCCATTCTACTCCTTATATGGTCTTTCGTTTAAATTAAGATTGTTGTTTTTCCAAAATCACGTCAATTCTTCTTTTTCACGTATACTTTTATATTCCCCCCCCCCCCATCTTACCTGAGAGCTTTAAAGTGCTTTTTCTGACTTTAGTGATTTGAGACTTTTTGTAAATTTACGCTTTTAATTTCGATCCAGTATTTCAGTATTTAATTTCGATCCAATATTTCAGTATTTCATTTCGATCCAATATTTCAGTATATAATTTTGATCCAGTATTTCAGTATTTAATTTCGATCCAGAATTTCAGTATATAATTTAGATTCAGTATTTCAGTATTTCCGCATTTTGTTTACATACAAGGTTACCAACAAAGGATGAGTCTTTACTGACGACCCAAAATTCTTTGGTTATGCCGATTAGAAGGTTAGATTTGTTTTTTTATTAGAAAATAGTCTTTTAAGGATCTATTCAATAATTTGGAAAGGAAATAAGAATATTATAAAGATGCGGGGAACCATGAATGTAAGAAATAAGAATATATGTATACAGATGCGGGGGAACCATGAATGTAGAAATAAGAATATATGTATACAGATGCGGGGAACCATGAATGTAAGAAATAAGAATATATTTATAAAAGATGCGGGGAACCATGAATGTAAGAAATAAGAATATATGTATAAAGATGCGGGGGAACCATGAATGTAAGAAATAAGAATATATGTATAAAGATGCGGGGAACCATGAATGTAAGAAATAAGAATATATGTATAAAGATGCGGGGGAACCATGAATGTAAGAAATAAGAATATATTTATAAAGATGCGGGGAACCATGAATGTAAGAAATAAGACAGATGCGGGGAACCATGAATGTAAGAAATAAGTCTGAATAAATGCTGTAAAGTCGTTTATGTCAAATCTCATAGTTTGTTGGGTAACCCTGTTCTCTAACTTATTCTTTTCTCCCACCCTCTCTACTATACTCCGTCCTAACTTATTCTTTTCTCCCTCTCTTCTATACTCCGTCCTAACTTGCTCGTAACTCCCCCCCCCCATTTCTCCCTTCCTCCCCTTTAATGCAAAATTCTCTTTCAGAAACCTTGTGTGCTCACCCCCTCTCCCTCTTTCGGAAGAACCCCCCCCCCCTTCCTTTAATTTAGTGTGCAGTTTGTAATTGTAGAGAATAAATTGCATCACAAGGTTTTGTAAACTACTTTGCAAGGATTTAACATCCTACAAAACAATTCTCTCAATAGAGATAGTTTAAATTATTCTACGCTTCTTCTTAAAGGGACTGTATACGTAATTTCCAGAGACACTCTATTGATAAAGTGCCCTTGTCAAGTTAAAAATGGTGCCCTTTGTCTGCATGATCAAGCTTGAAATAGATATTTATGTTTTTGTTTTTTTTAACTTTTTTTTTATTTGTGGTTTCTCTTCAAAGTGACTTGTGCATTTCTTGTTTACATAAACATTGTTTATTTTTTCTTCAAAGATTATGTTTAAAGATTAGGTTTAAAGATTTGGTTTAAAGATTAGGTTTAAAGATTTGGTTTAAAGATTAGGTTTAAAGTTTAGGTTTAAAGATTAGGACTAAAGATTAGGTTTAAAGATTAGATTTAAAGATTAGGTTTAAAGGTTAGGTTTAAAGATTAGGAATAAAGATTAGTTTTAAAGATTAGATTTAAAGATTAGGTTTAAAGGTTAGGTTAAAGATTAGGTTTAAATATTAGATTTAAAGATTAGGTTTAAAGGCTAGGTTTAAAGATTAGGAATAAAGATTTGGTTTAAAGATTAGATTTAAAGATTAGGTTTAAAGGTTAGGTTTAAAGATTAGGTTTAAATATTAGGTTTAAAGATTAGGTTTAAGGTTTAGGTTTACAGATTAGGTTTAAAGAAACAGAACAAACCTCTTGAACGATACAAATGCTCGAAGCCCAAAGTTCAACAAAAATGTCTTTAAAAAAGGAATTTAACACAAAAAAAATGAAATACGCCAGAAACCACTGAAAAGAATCTGATGGTTCAATTTGATCCAAAATGATTCATACTTATTTTGACTGTTGCTAAACAATGAGTAATAAATCTAAATTATTTGTTCCGTTATAGTTNTCCTTTTGCCACCCAACCCGATCCCTACAGCATGCAATTATATTTTCAAATATTTGATATAATAAGTCAAATTTAGTGGGTTTGTTGAAGGAAAAAATCTACGAAACAATGTTTGTGCAGGTTTCTGCCAGGTTTCTGATAAAAATGTCCGAACTACAGGAACTACAGTTAGAGTTTCAATTTGTGAGTCACGTAAACAAGTAAGCATGATACTAAGATTATCTTTATTATTATTATTCAATATTTACGTTAACTGTTGGTTTATAAGTTTGATCTGAAAAGAACTGTAAAGTAAAAAGTCACCATTACTCAATTAACTTGATGTAGTAGACCATAGATATTTCAATCTTTGAAATCTGCTGAATCAAATAATTGAATTTAAAACCGCAAAGATTTTCACCATTAGATTGCAAAGAGATACGAAAATTACAGTTTGTGATTAGTGATTATTTAATTTCTTTGTCGATAAAAAATTGGTACTTTTTTATTTTAAAAATTTACCAATACAATCAGTTAAAACTGCAACTTGTCTAGTATTATTTTTTATACAAAGCAAAAGCAACAAATTTTAATTTTAAAATTTTTGAACTGGTGTGATTTTGAGGTTAAATTGAATAATAATAAATAGCTATGAAGATTTAAACAAAATAATGATTTGAACAAGATTAAAGACGAGGGATGAAGAAGTAAATGATGAAATGATAACGGAACCTATAATTCAATGACGGTCCTAAATTGAATTATGAAAACGATGTATTTTAGTTAAGTTGAATCAAATACTGAAACAGTTTTTGCAAATTCAATTTGATTTCGGGATAATCTGAACCGTGGAATTCCTGGGTTTACTGCACGCCACGCTAATCCAAGCTGTAAGATTATTTTATGTTGATCCTGTAATTTAATCATCATTCAAAATCTTGAAATACATATATATTGTGTGGGGTATAAAACACGTTAATAATGATTACATATTATAAAAGTGTATTAAAGACCAACAAGTTTATTAAATGCTAAAATATTGAGTCAAAATAACGTTGTTTTAAAAAATAACCGAATGTTGGATTTTACGTGATTTGGCAGAAATATTTGGGGGGCGGTGGCAGCAATGGAAGGGGAGAGTTGAAAATATAACTAAATAGGAATAATGAGGGGGGTTGAGTTAAAAAGGAATTGATAGATGGGGTTGTGAAAAACAATGTGAATTTGAAGTAGATTTGTGAAAAGAACTTGAATTTTAAAAGTGTTCTGAAAAGGGGGGGAGATAT